TATCCGGCGGCCCGGCGACTCGGCAACCCGGCAGCTGAGCCGATTGTCCGCCAGGCCATTGTCAAAGCGCCCGTGGCTGCGGCACCCGGCGGACAATCGGCTCAGCTGCCGGGTTGCCGAGTCGCCGGGCCGCCGGATACTGGGAGGAAAAATATGGCATTTTCTTACTTATTTTTTCAGGCTGTTTTCGCATATTTTTTGCGACCAAAAAGTTCCAAATTTCTCTCGTGCCTGCTCTAGTCGTTCTGCTTCACCTCAGCGCACACCCTCCATTGACCTACCATCTCTACCCGCATCGACACGTCTATGCATTTCTTTCAACATGCAATACTGTACCAAAAGACCATCTCCCAACCCTGGCTACCAATTTGTGCGCTGCCCGCGATGTGAACACGAGTTCAAAGTCTCTATCTTGGTGCCTGAGCTTCACTGGGTCCAGCATCTTGAAGGAAAGAAGTGCGGAAGCACGCATAGGCGGTTGGAGGCTCAGAGAGAGAAGGGGAATGCTGAACAGACACGTCAAGAGCTGTTCCCTGAGGGCTTTGGATCGCTTCGCTGAACGCAGCTTGTTCGTGCTGTTTCAGATCCGCTACCTACGCGGAGGTAAGTGCTTTTTAACATGTTCATCTAGCCGTCCTAACACATTGATTCTTGCTTTTTAGCAGTAGTCCCTGTATATCTGAGCTTACTTCAAGCATGGACACTTCCTCCACAATGTCAAGCTTGAGCTCGCCTACCCTTGTCGATTTTTTGTGCTGCGGCGCGGTCTTGCCCTGGACTGTAAGACCGGTTTACAAGACATTCCCTCTCCACTTCCTTGACCAGCCGCCTGAGTCTTCGGGGTTTCATCTTGCCTCTGTGGTGGAGGATCCCATCACGTTCGAGGCTGTCATCCGAGTCCGCTCAAAGAGATGCTGCCTAAGACTCTACACAGAAGCAGGCACCGGCGCATGCGCGAAGTGTCTCACGGTCTTGACATCATCAGGTCTTCGTCGATTCATGCAGCGAGCGTCCACCTCATGGAAGCCTTACATGCGCTACGAAGATATGACCCGCACCCAGTTTATCGAGGCTATTCACTATAAGAATAGCACGCTCACAACCACTCGAGTACAGGTGTGTCATCTATATATATATATATATATATATACAATGTGCAGGCTTACTAATTATATTTTAGCGATACCGTGCGGAAAAGCGGGCAGAGACTGCAGAGGAGAAGTCTCGACTTCACGAACGGCTGGTTGCTGCACTTGCGATGTGCAACGTTCCCCGGCTGCAGCGCCTACTCCAAGTTGCACTTGACCAGGGCCGATCAATCGAGGAGATCTTGAACCGCATTGAAGATGCTGTCGCCAACATCTATCGTGTCAAGAGCTTTTCCACGACGGAGATAGACCTTGCGCGGATAATGTGGCATCTTGCTGGCGACAAGGGTGCTTACATTCTCCACAAGGCTCTCGGCTTTCCATCTGTCTCAGCTATACGCATGCGGTCACGGTCGACTCACCCTGTTATCCATCCATCGCCAGCAAAGCCCACATTCGACCACATTGTGCGCAACCTTCTCAGTGTATTCCCACCCAGCCCAGCACGTCACCCATGCCGCTGCGGCCAGGCTATCATGTTTGATGGAATCGCCATTAGAAAATGCATAAGAGAGGATGACGACTACATGGTTGGAGGCTGTCGAGAGTGTACCACGAATATGGATCTGTCTATGTCGTGCCTTAAAAATATCCTTGCGTTGGCCAAGGCTGTGCGGCGTGGTGATAATGGCGAAGACCCCTTGGCTCATTTCGGTGTTGAGGCAACAGTCGGAGCAATGGGTGCTCTGCGTGATGTCGACTTCCACGGATACTCTTTTTCGGTCTCTGCAAGCTGCAAAGCCGAAACAGCTAGTGACTTTAAAGCATATCTTGAGCTACATCTGCTTGCCTGGAAGACTGCCTGCGCAGCAACATATGGTGACATCTAGGTTTGTTAAAGTGCGACTGAACTCTTGCTTTATTCTGTGCTACAGGGCCAGTATATATACATGTGAGTCAGGACCTCTGATACCGCTATAAGACCTATGGTACTGTGAGCGTAAGCATGTATACTAAGCATGAGTAATCAGATGTCGTATTACTACAAGATAATAGAGGGATCATGTGATGATATCCCCATTAGTCCATACAGGGCAATGATGAAATCGCCCAGTTCTGACACTCCCACTCGACTAGTTATTGCCTAATCTACTGAAGACCAAGCCTAGCATAGACCAGAAACGCTCAAATTTTGTTGCACCAAGTGGTTTCGTCAATGTGTCGGCAATCATTTCGTCCGTACTAACGTAGACTATATCCACTTGTTTTTCTTCTACGTATTCGCGTATGAAGTGATATCGAATGTCGATGTGCTTGAGCCTTCGGTCGTGAGCGGGATTGACTGCGAGAAAGATTCCTCCTTGGTTGTCTGCTACCAAAGGTGGTGGTGCAGTAGGAAAGTAACCTAACTCTTTTTGGAGTGACGTTAGCCAGGCTAACTCAGAGCATGCCTCCGAGAGTGCCATGTACTCGGCTTCCGTCGAGGATCTTGCCACCGTCTTCTGCATCCGAGATGCCCATGTGACTGCTCCATCAGCCATCAAGAAAACGAAACCAGTTGTTGATCGCCGGTTATCCCGATTTTCGCCCCAATCTGCGTCTGAATACCCTATCAAACCGGACTGATTTGAGCCAGAGTACCAGATACGATACTCAGTGGTGTGACGGAGATACCGGAAGATGTGTTTCGTGGCTTCCACGTGCTGTGACGTAGGGTTTTGCATGTATTGTGAGAGTCTTGTGACTCCCCAGGCGATGTCGGGTTGTGAACCAATCATCAAGTAGATGAGGCTACCAATCATAGACTGGTAGTGATGGCGGAGTGCGTCGGTAGCGGTATATGTTTCCGCAGCCTTCTCGAGATGTATGCCTTCAGGCAGCGGTGTGCGGTAAGGTTTTGAGTTGTGCATCTGGAACCGGGATAGGATTCCTTCGGTATACGACTGTTAGTCGATCTCCAGACACCTGTTGTTTCTATCACGAGTGATCCGCATTCCAAGAAATGTACTAGCGGCTCCAAGATCTCACATTTGGAATTTCTCTGCAAGAACTTTCTTCACTCGTTGGATCTCGGGTAAACTTGGACCCATTGGTAGAAGGTCGTCGACGTAAACTATTAGGTAAACTTCGACTTTGTCGTGATGGTAAACGTAAACGCCAGCATCTGAGCGCGTGCGTTTGAATCCATTCTCGAGTAGCGTAGTGTGTAGCTTCTCGTTCCAGGTGCGTGAGGCTTGGCGTAAACCATAGATTGCCTTCTTTAATCGACACACCATCTTTTCTTGTCCTTTCTTCACAAAGCCTTCTGGTTGTTCCATATAAATCTCCTCGTCGAGCTCGCCATACAGGAAGGCCGTTTTGATATTCATTGCCTCGATTTCCCAATCTTCGAGTGCGGCATGTGTGAGTAAGAAGCGTATAGCTTCATAGCGTGCGACGGGAGAGAAGGTTTCCTGAAAATCTATCCCCTCTATCTGTGTGAATCCTTTGGCCACAAGACGTGCCTTATAACGGCCGTCAGGCTTGATCACATAAACCCATTTACATTTCACAATTCTCCGGTTGTTCGGTCTGTTGACCAGAATCCATGTGGAATTCTCCTCCTGAGACTTAAGTTCCTCCTTCATCGCGATCTCCCACTGTTTCGCATTTGGGCGAGACATTGCTTCGCAGTACGTAGTGGGGTCAGGTTGGTGTGCATGACATATCCATTGGAATAAATTCCGACGGAGTTAATCGTCGACTTCCATTGGAGAGTTTTCACGTTGTTCACGTGCTTCTCGTTCTTCTCGTTGATCATGTTGGATGTCTCGTTCCTGTTGACGCCATGCTTCTGTGGGCGGGACGTCACCATAGCTGTTATCGGGAACACGGCGTTGGCCTGCATTTTCGCGCTGTGGTCTGGCTGGATGTGGGACAGGTTGTGGTTCGAGATTCCATCGTTGCCTAATATCAGGAGCAGGTGGTGCTGCCTGACGAGATGGACCGGCTGGTCCGCTCTGACGAGGACGATATTGTTCTCTCTGAGGTGGAGGTTGTCCAGGAGGTGGACCGGGAACAAATGGTATCTCCGGATGTTTGTACGGTTCCGGAGTTGGGCTTCGATATTGTTCATAACGATCGGCTGGATCGTTATTGACTTCGTCTTCATCCTGTTGTTGCGGTTTGTCTTGCCACGGTTGTGGATGTGCGTTGTCTGGGGGTTGATTATCAGGTGTGAAGTCATCCGGACTGGTAGGGTCCGGGTTCGGCAGGTCGGGTAGAACAGGTGGAAGTGGATCTTGAGACATTCCAGGCTCACGAGGCCTTTCGTCTTGCTTGGAGAAGGAAGACTCATCGAAGGTGACGTCGCGTGACACAACGATGGTCCGGGCAGTTGGATCCCAGAACCGGTAACCCTTTGTACCGATTTCGTACCCAACGAAGATCATGACTTTAGCCTTTGGCTGTAGTTTATTGACCCTCGCATCCTTATGTGTGTGGACGTAGGCTTTACAGCCCCATACCCGAAAGTACGATATGTCCGGAACAGTGCCGTTCCATTTAGTGATGGGCGGCTTCCATTGGTGACGGCGCAGAGGTTGTCGATTGTATATGTGTACTGCTGTTTCTGATGCTAGTTTCCAGAACCCAGACATCATGCCAGCGTGATGTCGCATAGCTTCTGCCTTATTTTGAATGGTCTGTTGCCAGCGTTCTGCTCTGCCATTCTGTTGTGGTGTTCGCGCCACTGATAGTTGACGCTCTATTCCGTGTTCTGCTAGGAAATCGTCGAATTCGCGGCCTAAAAACTCCCCCCCACGGTCCGAACGTATAGCCTTGAGCTTGCGCTCGGCCTGTGTTTCCGCCCAAGCGACGAATTGCTTGAAAGCAGAGAAGGCATCAGACTTCCGTTTCAGGTACCAGACTAAACCAAAGGAGGAATAGTCGTCGAGGGTGGTAAGGGCAAACTTGTATCCATCGAGTGATAACGACGGATATTCGACAAGATCCATGTGAATTAAGTCGAGGGGATGATCCGCACGACTGTCAGATGCAGGAAATGCATCGCGACGAGACTTCCCGAATTTGCATCCATCACAGGGAGTATCCCTGGTTGGTGCCGTGATTTTATCCGGGACGCCTTTGACATTGCCAGGCAGTTGAACAACTGATTTCTTCCTGGCGTGTCCGAAGCGACAGTGCCACAAAGTATATGGATCGTTGGATTTGACCGACATTAATGTTCCTGGCTTAATCCCGCTGGTCCTGGTAAGGACTTCAGCTTCTAGCCAATATAAACCTGACGACTTTTCATATTCGCCCTCCATTAAAACTGTCCGCTGTGTTGGGTCTGATCCGCGGAGTAACGTAAACTTCTTGCCATCCATCTCAATACGGTGTCCGTTATTGAGAGGCATTCTGGGCGCAAAGTACCATTCTGCTGCTTCCGGTACGTATAATATGGTTTCTAACCGGATATGCTGAATTCGTCCATCTATGAGACGATGTTGCAGAGCGATTTCACCGTGACCTTTGATTTCGATAGTCTGACCTTTGCCGGCCGTGTGTGCATGACCTGGCTTAGGGAATTCATGGTACCGAATAAAGTCAGTTTTGTACGGTGTGACATGTGTTGTGCAACCGCTGTCGACCATCCACTTAGACTTGACACCCGTAGCATAAAGAGAAACAGAGATAGATTCTTCCTCGATTTTAGCTACAAGTGGTACATCGACTATGCGTATCGTATTAACTGTCTGAGTGGTCGTCGCGGTATTGTCCTTCGCTTTGCCCTTTCCCTTTCCCTTTTTGCGCTTTCTGCCACCCTGCTGCTGCTGCTGCGTGTTGTTGCCGTTACCGGAACTCGAGCCAGAATTCGCCGGCTTTGTGTCCCAGTGCTGCTCTGTCGTGTGATTCTTGCGACCACACTTCTCACATTTCTTGTCTAGGAGGGGCGCCTTCGAGACGCGCGCAATCTGAGTGCGGTTCGCGACGCGGCGTTGTTCCTCCTCAACGATCTTGGGCTTGATAAGCGCTGCTGTGAGCAGCGTAACATCAGTTTGCGCAGTGAGAATTGTACCAGCGACGGTCTGGTACAACTTGGGGAGAGCATTGATCATTAATAGAGCAAGGAGCTGAGGTTTGACCTCTATTCCCGCCGCGTTGACCTGGTTGGACTGCTCTGTGAGTGCGTCGAGTTGCGGGCCGAGTGCGGAGCTGTCAGAAAGCTATGCATTGAACAGCTTCTGGAAGGCGACGAATGCGCCTACCGCTCCGGGTTTCTCGTAGCCGGCCTTGATCGCGGTCCATGCGTCCAGGGCCAAGAACTTGTCATCGACGAGATGACGAAGGTTCTGTGCGACATAGAGTTGGATAATGCCCAGCGCCTTGTCGTTTTTCTCATCCCATGCAGCTTGAGCTAGAATTTCCGTAGCCGTGGGTGTACCTGTCGCAGCTATTGGTCTGGCAAGACCAGGGACAGGAACGGTCGCTGTGGAGCCGTATCCCTGTATCAAGTACCAGACGCCCTGGTAGCGCAGGAAGGCTCGGATCGCGTCGAACCACTTTTTATAGTTGGTTCCGCCGAATTGCGGGATGGTGGATGTGGCGAGCTTGGTCGGGTCAGAAGAGGATGACATTGTTATCGTGTACGAAGAGGAGGCGAGTGTATGCGTAGAGTGTTTCACGTTCCTTTGGAGTTAAACCGACGTCGTAAAAGAATTCACTGAGATCGAGCTTGTATGATTTGGCTCGTGTCGTTCGAAGTGATTCCCAATCTTCTTCCAAGAATGCGAGATCGTATGTCTGATTGATCGGTCTAAAATATAGATCTTCCGCAATGTCTTCCTGGTTGAGGTAACAAGCGTATGGTTCCGAATATGTGTCGGAGCTTGTTGGAAAGAAGATATGGATTATATCTTCGTCGTGGTTTGTTAACTCTGCTGTAGCGTTATAGCTTGGCGGTTCTTGGACGTGTTTGAAAAAATAGAACGGAGTTAGCAACACTTCGACGTATTGTTCGTGTGCTGTTAATGCTTCCCAGTCTGTTTCTATGTCGTCTAATATATTCAGTCGCTGTCTGAATTCTGCGACGGTTTTCTGTTTTGTCTCTACGGTTTCAGGTACCGTATTTGTCTCCTGAGAGGTAGTGATTGTGAACGCTGTTGAGCGGACCACTTATCCCAGCTAAGCCGATTTAGCCGAGAGGTGGATAGAGTTGGGATTGGACGAAGGGACCAGTTAAACTACGACTCTTGTTGTCGCTTAGGATAAACACACAGTAGTCAGGTTTCCGAGTAGAACTTATTCTGATTGTTACAATAGCGTTGTATATAAAGTATCTACTTGTTCTCGTAAAACCTAACCGCGTCAAAATATCCGTTCACGTAAACTGCGCTAAGCACTTGTACAATCCGGGCTTTGTTCTTGCGTAGCCCTTTGAACGAGATATCCCCTATTTCTCTGCACCCTAATTCCCACTTGCGCCACTCCTCGTATTTGACGACGTTGCAGATGTCCGCCAGGCAGCGTTTGATGCGCGTGAGCTGCTCGATGAGTCGGCGGAGATTGCGGACTCGGTCGGAGTTGAGGTCATCGAGCTCGAGAGTCTCGAAGACGTCGAGGCGTTTGAGCGTGCCGTCGAACTTCAGTGTGAAGATGCGGACGAGGTCGGCAGGAGTGTGCTTGTCGAAGTCGATGAGTATCGGCTTCGGGGCGATCGGCGTATGTGTCGCCAGTGGGATGGCAGCGAGACGCTGCTCGAGTGTCGGCTTTGACGAACCGGCGAGGATCCGTTTGCACGCCTGTTGGATTTCGCGTGCAGCTAGACGCTGCTCGAAGTCGGCCTTGTCGATTGCGTAGCGCTCGCGGAACTGTTTGCGACGTAGGCGCCTACCCTCGTGTGAGTTTGGAGGGAATGGGAGAGTGAGCGCTGGAGTCGGCGGGCGTAGTTCTTTGCCGCGGCGTTTACCGTACAGGACGGTCTTGACGGAATCGTTGGCGTTGCCGGAGGCGGGCGCGTAGCTGGCGGAGTGCTTGTACCGCTGGAAAACAGAGTGAGGGGGACGAGCGGGTAAATCCTTTGGCACTAGAAATTACGCAGGAATGAACGCGTGAGCGCTCCGTCTGCCACTAGCACGCAACGAGACTTACTCGTAAACTGTGTGGATAAACTTGGTTTAAACTGGGTGAAGGGGACCGAGGTTTCCCGAGGGGTCTTCTTCAGCAATGAGACTAGTTGAGTGGGGGTAGAGTGGCCGTGAGGCCAGGGCTCATAACCTGTTAAAGTGCGACTGAACTCTTGCTTTATTCTGTGCTACAGGGCCAGTATATATACATGTGAGTCAGGACCTCTGATACCGCTATAAGACCTATGGTACTGTGAGCGTAAGCATGTATACTAAGCATGAGTAATCAGATGTCGTATTACTACAAGATAATAGAGGGATCATGTGATGATATCCCCATTAGTCCATACAGGGCAATGACGAAATCGCCCAGTTCTGACAGGGTTGTCGGGTGTGATGGCGCATCTGTTTTTCGTGGCGCATGTTTCTTGCTTCTCATGGATCGAGTCTTTGATGACAATCTTCTTGCGCCGCTCTCGCCGTTGCGAGGCCTCAATCTCAACTGTGGACCTGACAACATTGTGCATTGCCCTGACCCGAAGCATGTGCTTAAACGTGAGTAGATTATTGTTCGTTTTGACGAGGCAAGCTAACAATCTAATATTTAGGCTTTAGTACCCTTCTCAGATCACCTAGTGGAATGCTGATCAATGGCGTCGTAATTAATCAGGCCGTGCTCTCGAAGTTTTTGCAAAGGGTTCCAGAAGAGACTGCTGAGTCTGTGAACAAGCTCCTCAATCCGGACGACCAGCAGAACGTACCCGCTGCAGTTGGGTTGCTGGAGAGTATTGTATCCCTTCGAAATCTCGATCCAGCGACTTTCACAGACCCTGCCGATCATATAACATTCCGCGCTCTCTTGATTCTCAGCGAGTTATGGGATGCATTCCTTGGAGCCTTTCTCAATGAAGCGGACAGTCTATCGGAGCAGCTAGCGTCACTGTCCAAGTTTGCTCACCTCGCATACGCCCTCTATATCCACCACGGCTCCGCCTTCATGCCAAACCCACTGTTCAGTGACTCTCAAGCTCTCGTAAAGGCGGCATTCGTCTGTGTCGTGCGCCAGCAGGATCTCGACCCGCTAGCGCTTTTTTTCTTATTTCTGCTGGGCAGCGATCGACTGGAGCAGCTCTTTGCTGAAGTACGAACCCAGTGCCATGACCGCAATTGTGACATCAAACAACTCTGCTCGCGTCTGGGTATTGCTGTTGACATGCTTATGACACTGAACCGGTATCCGAGCTGGGATCGTGGCCATCGCCGACGCTCATTTCTTCGCAACGGCGGTGTTGACCATGTGAACCCGCTCCGCTTTAAGGGGGATCTCGTCGCTGGACACGTAAATCTGCAACGGTCATGGGATGAAGGTCGAGCCGGAGCTGAGAAAGTATTCGACAACGCAGGAATACATATGGATATTCTGCACTCACTCTCGCGGCTCGGCGGCGACTTCATGAAGCCAAATGGCTCATCCTACCCAGGTTCATGTACAGAGCCTGATCAGTCCATCCCTGAAGAGTCTAGCACGATGACTGCTGTTGACACTGGTTGTGTGTCAGACTCACAGGCCAGCGCAGTAGACGAACCATCAGAAGTCAGTGGAGAAGTGGACGAGATCGAGCTCCAGACCCTTATCAGTGGTGCAGTGGAGAGGCAGAACGCCACCAAGTCATCTCCTTGTCTGTCGGACTGCTCTCAGAGTTCCTCTCTTAGGCCAAATTGGATTTACGTCCCTCGAGAAGATGGCAGCGACCCTGTACCTGTTCATAAGGAGACCGTATTGCGCCTTTGGTTCAACGAAGGTCTCGACTCCACACTCTCGCTTGATCGGCCTCGTCGAGTCCGCGGGTTCTCAAAATTTGGCCATTTACCAGCTTCAGTTCCTCTCGACAACCCTACCGTCACACGTCTGGCCCATGAGTTGCTTCCATCTCATGCCTCCCATACTTCTTCACCTTCGCCATCTGTGCCGCCTGCCCCCGTACTGCTGCCAGTAGACCTCTCGCCATCTATGATTCTTCTTGAGGACGTTGCTATCGTTCCAATTCGTTCAGCCAACACAATCTCTTTGGCGTTCATCAAGATCACAGACATTGAGACTCCAAGCGGGAGGGTCAAACATGTGAGCCTCGAAGAGCTGGGCAAACGCGAGGAGAAAGTCTTTGTGCACGGACAGGTTTTCATCATGAAACGAGAGTCCCTCCCAACAGCTAGCTCAGATCAATATTTTTGGCTGTGGACGGGGGAGTACGCTCGGTTCAGCTCCGTATCAGGAAGTCGCAACAATGCAGAGCACGGCACAAGGTCAGCTTATGTCATGCGAACTCCCGGTCATCTGGTTACACCTGTCACCGAACTCATGAAGGCTACGTCGTTGCTTCCGATTGAACACCGCAAGACACTTGACCATGCTCACATGACCCTCACATATGCAATCAGTGACAAGTGTCTTTGCTCGATACTCAGTGATTCGTACTCTCCGCAGCAAGTGACAGCGGCAGCACTGGTCAGCGCACTACCGAAACACGGTACTGCAAACGGCTTTCCGTATCCAGACGATCTTGGCGGTACGAATTTATTTTGATGCTGGCCCTAAAAGACTCAGACTGAATTCTACTGCTGTAGGTGCATGTTTCGAGGTATCTAACGTGCAAGATGCGATCGCGTAGAGACACGGAGACGAGTCAGAGAAGCTGACATGCTATCAGTGCGAGGTGTCCATCAAGCGTAAGGAGCTGCGCAGCCATGTCGGAGTCCATATTCTACGGTCACTCCTAGGTCAACCGGAACCTGATCTTGTTGAGCAGGTGAGTACAAGCTTATAGCCCAGATGCAACAGATGCTTATTCGGACGACATCATTGCTCAATTCCCATGGTATACAGATTGACCTGACGGCATATCCATGTGGTATTTGTGGCCACTCCAGATGCACCATCGAGCTCGACGGTGTCAGTGTGACATCGAGCTGCGAGCGTTATTTTCCTTTCACCACTGGCCGTGCCAACAAATCCACTGTCCCCAACCCCTCCAGCAATGTCCCGATGGAGTGCTGTCTCTGCAAACCTATACACCCGCGTAGCAAACGGCGACCAGTTTTCTGGAAGTACAACATGTTCTACCACATTCGGATCGCACACCCGGCCTATTGGGATGCCGAGACAGCTCGGCCGTGCAACCTTGAAGCCAGCTTTGTGAGCAACATGGAACTGAAACCCGGAGAGCTCGACATCATCGCGCCGAAGCGCACTCGTCCTTATCCGTTACCTGATCCACTGTGCGGTACTAAACGGCATGATTCTAATGACCCACGCTCTCCGGCCCGTAAACATCGAGACAAGCGCACCAAGCTAAGGCTTTTTTGACTTCATTTCACCTCGCGCTGTATATACTGGTTGTATACTGAGTTTACGGTCACGATCCGCTGGCCGTCTACCTTCGGTAGTCTGTTATACAGCTTCCTAATGTCAAGTATATAGTTACTAGTCTATACTGTAAAATTATCGAGTCGTTTTTTGACTTTCCTGCAGGCTGCTATGCTGCAGAGTCAGCTAACATACCTGCACGCCGCACGGCGGACCCACGTCCGGTCCTTGGCTACCGATTACCATATGCGGCTGATTTCGCAGGACAGTTTTCGGGGGCTTACTCCGGCGTCTGCTAGCAGGTTGTTTCCACAGATCTGAATCGTGGATGCCTCCTGCTGCAAGTTGCCGTCGTTCTGTTGGAAAGTCCGCGGAGAGCAGATGCCGATCACAAGTCTTTTCGAGAAGTCCGCAAGCGAGGCTATCATTTGAGGCCATCAAGCGAAGCAGCGACCTAGCACTTCCTCGCAAGCGAATAAGCCCTGACAGCGCCACGAAGCCCATAGCACTCGACTGTTTCCCCAACGGATGGTTCTAATGGAGAACCCCAGCATGAGCGAACCGAGTGGCATGACCACAAGCGTAATGCACTCGCCGCCGCCATTCCATTTTTGGCAATTTTTTTCTCGTGCTTCCCCTCCATTCTGCCCGAGATGTCGCATCTTGTTCTGTCAAAAGCCGACAGCGCGTCGGCTCTACGCTGCAGATGTCATGGGTATATCCCCGAGAGGCGACATGACCGCTACTAGAGTCTGTCTAACCGTTTCAAGTTGGGATTCAGCGGCTGCACAGAGATTATAAAAGGACGGGCTTCAAGTCGATACAGCACAGCAGCACAGCCAGTGTCTCCTGCTTCCCCATTCTCTTCGAACAACTCGTCACCGTACGCCCTTTTCTCGCCGTATCTAGGCCCTCACTTACGTTCGCACGCAGATGCAGCTCTCCCTCTTTGCGCTCCTTGCTGCCACCAGCTTCGTCATGGCACGCGCCGCGGCGCCCACGGTGCCCGTGAACGACTGCCCTGCGGTGCCAGCCTGCTTCTTGAACGGCACGATTACTACCCGGAGCGGGCACGACATCCCGGCCGAAGAAGTTATTACCCCATGCGATACCTGCCCCGGCACCGAGTGCGGCGAGCCTACCGAGGGCACCATCGACTACGATGACGGCAGCTTCACCGGGGACTATTCTGTACGTGCCTTGTCGTGCTCAAGTTTGCATGCCGTGTTTTGCTGATGCAGTGTGTTGTGCGATCAGTTCTGCGTGCCCACGGAGAACTAAGTGAAGCGAGAGTCGAACGTTGCAGTTCCAATCGAAGACGGATGGTCTTTTGAATGTTTCGCATAGATGCTAAGATGTGGCTTGCGCGCGGAGATGCAAAGATTGTAGCGTCCCCTGACCGAATGGCGTCGGACAAAACGAGATGCTTGCTCCCCACCGTGCCACTCAGCTGCCTGCCTGCCTGCCCTCGCCTTGCATCGCAGAAAGGTTAGTCAAAGTGTCGAAGATAAACCAGTCCAGCCCGCTATCACATACATCGTGCCGCGGTCTCTGTTTACACGTCTTTCGAGCAAGTTTCCCGTCCAACCTTCTCAGGCCGGCAACACCACGGAACCCGTGACATTCGACCGATACCTCCACGTCAGTTGCGGCCGGCTCGGCCAGCAGAAAAGCAACGTCGGGGTACATCGCAGTATGTTCGCTATCGTTTGCGAGTTGTGAGTTTGTTTTATACCTCGTGCCAGTAACTATTGCACGTATCGGACCAGGTGACTCGGAAGGGTGCGTCAGTCTGATCATCGTTCTTGTTCGAAGACGAGCGGCTCTTAAGAGGCCTGTATGGATACGGCTTGCGTTCTAGAGGCTCAAAGCTGAATGTTGACTTGAATCCTCTGATGATACTGAGATGAGAGAGATAATATCTGCCATGCACCAGCAGTCTAGTCAACTCATTGATTATTTTTGATTATGTTACATGTCAAGGCCCAGGCACCAAAGCGACCTGGCTCTTTCATCCTGCTTCATGATTTCTGTCATGAAGCTCTTCATGATGGCCTGATATCGTATCAAGTCGTCACTTTCGACGGTGAGGTCTAGGTTGGGAAGGAGCTCTTGGATTTCGGAGGGCAGCGTCTGACTGGTTCTGATTATGTCACCCGAGCTAATTCGTGGTAACTTAAGACCTGGAGAATTGAGCATGGCGGACTGCCATAGCTCGATGTAAAGACCAAATTTGAGAAATTCAGAACATATTGCTGTCCTGGCTCTACACGGCTACGTCATAAAAAGTAAATAAACACGGCGCTCAGTATATGGGCCAGAGTGTGTAAGCGGTTGAGGCCGATTACCTACCTGTAGGCAGTTCCATATACACCGGATACGATAGTCTTTTCGCCGAGGTTCGAACTCCTTGTAGAACCATAGATACAGGGCCAGTTGGATACTGTGCACAAACTGAGATAGCTGCGCCTCCAAATCTGCAGTATGCTTGGCCTGCTTAAGGTGTTCCCGCCAGCCTATTTTCATGGCCAGGTAGTCGACATGCGTGCTCTCGTTGACCAGGGCTTCTGCGTAGTTTTCGAACGAACTGGACGCCAAGAAAGCGGTTGCGAGGTATGCGTGTCCTTCGGAAGAGTTCACATGGTAGAGCGCATCGCTGCAGCGTCCTTCGTCGACGAGGAATTCGCAGAAGGAGGCGTGAAGGGGTACTACGCGCCCGTTCATGTTGACCAGCAACACGGAACGCAGGTGGTCCACCACGGTGAAGACATCGTCCAGAGACAGCCCACGTGCGTAGAACGCAATGGTCTCAGGGGTCGGGGGGTGTCGTGCCAACGCAACAAAACGCAGCAGCGAGAGAAGGCGCTTGTGCCGGGCAGGCAAAGTGCGCAAAGTCTCCGGGGGAAAAGCGGACCGTAGGATCTGCAGGTACAGCGCATCGAGAGGCGACAGCGCCGTACCTCCACCAGAGAGAACAAGCTCGAACTGCTCCTCCGGGTGGTCGTGGATCGTGTCAAAGAAGTTCACTACGATGCGGGCGAAAATGAACAGCCCGCCTGCACGTCGGGCAAGGCGTTCAAGGGCGTCAGGGTGTTTGCGCAGGAAATCGGCGTATGAGGGTATCTTCGGTACCACATCACTGAGATAACGCTTCACGTCGTCGCTCCCATCCATCAGCGTGTCGTCCAATCTCCGATGATGAACGAGATCTGCCGAGCCGGGAGATGCAAGAACTGACAGGATGTGAGGCTCTGGTCGCGACGCGGCGAAGACGTGTAGCCAGGGTAGTTCTCGGACCAGCTCGAGCAAGTATCGGAGGAGGTCAGGTACAAGGGCCCTGTCCTTGCATTCGTCCATGCCGTCGACGACGAGCAGCGTCGGCACCTGCTCGGACACGGGTGCGGCAGTGAGAGCTTTTCGAAGGAGTTCTTGGAACGTGTGGTGCATCTGCTGCCGCTCGCCATGCTGAAGGTACTCTCGCGCGGCGCTGATGATATAGGGCCGAAGGACTGGCCGGGACAACGCCAGCTGCCGCGCGAAGGTTGAAAAGAACAGGCTGGTTGACTCCAGGTCGCCAGCACCGCGGACGAAAAAGAATGATGCGCCTAACCTGAGCGAGGGTTCCCTTGCCGCATCAAGACGGACGCAGAGCTGGTGGGTGACGGAAGACTTGCCCATACCCGCTCCACCACTGAGGAGGTAGAATCGCTTCGGCCCACACTCGGGAAACCGTCCAGCCGACCATAGGTCCAGCTCCGCGAAGAGATTTTTTCGGGTACCTTGCATGAACCCACTCTTGAGCTCGTCTACCGAGCGATAGCCTGCAGATGCCCACGGGATGGATTCGATGATTTTGAGGTCCTCTTCAGACACGGTGATCAGCATCTGCGCACAATCGTGCGTAAAGAGGTCCTATAAATAAACTCACCGGCTTCCCGCAATTGACGCTGAATTTCCTGCAGAGCAGTGTCATGAACGGTCTGGACAGTAAGCTGGCATAATAATGCAAACCTTTGTTGCTAGTGCGACCTCGTCAAAGATATTCTCGATGGAGATTGAGCCACGAATCTGAAGTAATGGGATGTCTCGGGATGGATGTTGAGAGCTAGCGAGGTTAACGTACCTTGAAAATCCTCAGTGCTTGTGCCATTTCTTTCTTCATGTCTGACAAGACAGCCTGATTGCGAGATGAATAGATAGCCCCTTTGAAGAACCCACAGAATCCTGCACCGCCCTTCAGTTCCCCCGCCGACCCCTGAAGCTCGCCGATTGTACTGCGTCCGTTTTAATATGACTCTCCATGCAAGCTCATACAAGTCGTACCCTAGTAGGTCCCGTGTCCGCTCTTGAAGCTTCTCTGAGTGTTTGATCTTCTCGGCCAGCTCTTTCTTGTCGTGGTCATTACCATCGCATTCTTCAACCACGGTTTCCGCCTTCTGTATCGTCCTTTCGATAACGGCCTCCAGCTCCTTGGCCTGGGCAAGGAAGGCATCAAGTTCTTCGCTGTTCTCTCGGACGACCTATGGGCAAACAGGAAAAATTATAGTTCTATTTTTCACCTGATCAAGATTTACTCGCCTTCGCCCTCTCGACAATAAACCCCAATCCTTTCGCGATGAGCGGTAGCCCTGGAACAGGAGCAAGTGCGAGGGCACTCTCCGCTAGCTCGAGGATGGAAGGGGCAATGTCGAGGGTAACATCAACGAGTCTCCGAGGAGACATGATTGCATGCCAGTAAGTGCGTCGGGACGCTATGAGTAGGCACAGTGTGAAGGGAATGGGGAGCATGATCCACGTGTTGGTCTCGTGCAATAATTCCCATGCAGATACGATGTTCTCCCCTTGCGGGCTGTGCATTAGCGTTTGATGATGCGATGCTAGTACTTTGCCTGGCGTGGCTTTCATTTCCAGTGTGCTTCGACGTCGGTGATACGTGGAGATGTTGGACTTAAAGCGAAATGTAGATCAAATTTTAACAATGGCGGTACGCAGGCGCATTCCGCAAAGCCTGAGTACACGGATGTGTATTGTATTCCTGACAGAGATTCCAGCTGCGAGAGACCTCTTGTAGCCAAAGAGTGGAGGATTGAGAGGAATAATAAAGATAGTTGTCTAGTAATTAACTCAGGTCGCGGTAGGCTATTGGTTGATACATCTATGATACGAAGAGCACGAAAACTCGAGTAGATGTGGCTACTCTCCGCGAGGTCCACGCAGAGCGCTTCTTACATAAGCGACGCGCATGCCAAGTCACGTGCCACGAGGAGACCCCGGAAGATCCCGGCCCCAGTCCAGCCCAGTTCCCGCCTCGTTGCAAGTCGTAAACGTCAGAGGTGACCGGTGAGCTCGAGAACTCGAGTCTCGGTTAAGTCGCGGAGTAGTCAACTCGCGTTCATATTCCGGAGGCCAATTCTCACGTATACCTCCTGGCTTCGTAGCCTTACTTGTGCCAACTATGCCCAATTTATATTTGGATTTATGCTCTAAAACGTTCCTGAAAAAATCCGGCCACTTAAGCGCTCCCTGCACTCAAACTCGGCCTTTTGTTCTCCGCCCTCCCTCTAGAGGCCCATCCCTATTCCCCTTCCTCAGCGTTCAGAAGTCCGAAGATCTCAGCTATCGTGAGTCATTTCATCTTTGACACCAGATATCTCTGTTGAAGGCATGCAGCAACTTTTAAAGTTTCAGACTTTCTGCGATGTGTTTGGCTTCATTTCCGGAGGAGCTGCTCAGTAAGATTCTTGGCGACGCTTTGGACATCAATTCTATCGACTTCTTTGCATTCACTGCGCGGAAACCTAAGAATACACACCAATGAGCCGCTTCCAACAGCCCTCTCCACTCATACAAACAGACCCTACGCAACACGGGCCTCCTGCTTGTCTCTAAGCAATGGCTTCGTGTTGCCAGTCCCTTTCTTTACTCTTTTCTCACACTTTCCAAGTCTGACCACATCGTTGTCGTCGCTCGAGTTCTCAAACGCCATTCGCGCCTGGGGAAAAGCATCCGGAACATGAGACTAGAATGCAGCTACGAGAATCTCGAGGAGTCGCTTCAGTTTATTTTTACCTCAGCCTCAGCACTTGCTAGTATTTATCTGGGGTTTGAGGCAGGATGGCTGCAACCTTCGCCATCTCTTCTGAAGGTTCTATTCCAAGTATGCCCAATAGTGTTATTTGTATCACTATCCAATCCTTGGCCATTTCCTACCCAACATGAAAGGGCATGGTTGGCTGAAGCATATGAAGGTTGCTATTGGACAAAAAAAAATGAGTTTGGAATTGGTGCAGACTGTACTCACAGTTTGGCGGACAAGGGTGCGCAAACGTGAACGAACGCGCACGAACATGCACGAAAGCTCACGAAAGTGGACGAACGTACATGATCGTGCACAAAAGTAGATGAACGTACACGATCGCGCACGAAAGCGCACGAATGCACACGATCGTGCATGCCGCTGAGCTTTGGTTTTGGTTACACCCTGATTTGAGATTGGCAATGGCGCTAATGTGTGCGCGTTCGTGCACTCAACTTATTATTCAGTTTCGTGTAAGCTGACAATTGGTTTTCATTTTCATGATTATGCATCTCATTTGAATCTTTGAGTGCACGAAGGTGCACGAAGGTGCACGAAAGTGTGCGAAGGTGCGCGAAGGTGCGCGAAAGTAAACGTCTGGCAAAAATGAATTTGTGATAACATGAATATGTAGTTCGTCAAATGCACACTTTCGTGCGCGAAAGTGCACGAAGGTGCACAAACGTGAGCTTTCGTGCACGTTGGCGCACGTTAATGACCAAACGCACATCATCGTGCACAAATACGCACGAAAGTGCACGAATACGCACGCATAACCTTAGACGCACATCGAAAACAAAAATTTGTGGCCGGTGTGAAAGTGAGAATTTATTTTTGTCCAATAACACCCTTGATAGAAGCGATCCAGAAACATTGGGTAACTTTGGTAATGTTACTCTGCAATTAGTCGCGAGAGCAGTACTTTTAACCCCGCTTAAAGGAGGAAATTCATCTCAATGATCGATTCGGCCTCGTCGACAAATTCGGCGCCGTTCTTCAAGCCGCCCCTCGATTGAGATCGATATATGCGTGGTCACAAGACGCAGTTCTATGGCTATTATCAGACAACTTGCGATATCTGAGAACTCTGAAACATATCTTTTGCAAATGTGCAGAAGACAAGCTTTTCCTGGAGACTATGAAGATACGCGAGCAAGAATTGACCGGGGACAAAAGGATGCTCACGTTCATGTGACAGATGACGAGAGTGAGACTTCCCGTTGATTTCGTCCTGTAAGCCTATGCTGACCGATATATTACTGCATAATTCAGAGAGGTTTTCCCATGCTTTATTTATGTTGGCGGAACAATATTGAGGAGCGATACGAAGGCTAGCTTGTATGACGTATATGAATGATCCAGAACAGAGAGCTCTTTTAACAGGAATGTGCCTGAGCATAAAATATCAGCTTCCTATATTCTTCTGGTAGATTGTGATGTAACATCACCACTATCAGTGGTAGTCAGATACCTCTCCCTGAGTCCCTGTTGATGCTAAGCAACGTGAATGGAATAGATGTCTCACGGAGAGTATCCATTTCTAGACCAAATGGCCAATCCTGAATGCCCGCGCGGCTGCCACGAAGTACGGCGTTGTTCCACTCGATGAGAGCATGGAAAGAGTGCGGCTACAGAGGTCCGGACCTTAGTGATGTGCGGGCCGGGCCTCAAAGCCTGCGAGCCCGCCAAGCCCGGCCCAAAAAGCCTGACCCGAGCCAAGCCTGGCAGTGGGCTCAAGGCCGGGCTCGGAGCGTAGTCAAGCCCAAGCCCGGCCCGAAAGCCCAGGCTTGGGTGTACTGGCTCTGTTACTGTCCCCTGAGTTCAGAATAAGGTGAGAGAGATCTAATATGTACATACCAGACATGATATGGATATTCTAGACTCGACGGTTCCCGCCGAGCACGACTGTGCATCACCGTCTGGTGTCTGCCATAGGCGCGCGCTCGTGGGCTTCATTGCAACTCGACTTATTCTGCAAGTGTACGTCTTCTGGAGGCTGAATTCAGTGAGTACATGCAGCAATAATCTACTACATCCAAACATACTCCCTTTTCATAGCACCAGAATATCCATTGTACTGTGAGCAAGCCCGGGCTTAAGCCTGCGGCTTGGGCCGGGCTCGGGCTCGGCTCGGGCTCAGGGCTCGGCTCGACGTTGCCACAAGCCCAAGCCCGGGCTTTGAGCCCAAGCCGGGCCCGCACATCACTAGGTCCGGTCAGTTAAACCAGGCAGCTAATGACGGCCACTTACGATCTCGAGTTGAAGGCGAGTGAGGACAAAGGCAAAGGCGCAATTGGTAAGCCAGCCCCTTGGATCAATTGCTTCCATCTTGGCATGGCTTGTCCAATCATATGCCCAATTGGGCAACTTGCGTAGGTTATAGCGGTCGCCTTGGTACTCATCGAGGACGATACGTGGGCTCTTCCGGTTCACCATGGGTGGCAACTACTAGTGACTGTCGGACAGTTCAATGTGCATGTGGAGGATGTAAGTGTCGGGCGGGCCATCAAGAGAGTACCCGTCAGGCAGAGGGAGCTAGACGTGACTAAGGTGAGCATTAACGGCTCACAAAGGCTCTTGCTGCATAACGCACCGGGACACCCGTCACATCGAACATGCAGCGTCCTTGATACCCAGGAAGCGGAGGGGGACGGTCCCTGGAGTACGGATTGGCCCCAGTAGGTTTGAGATTTTCCAGCCAGACGTCTAGCGGCCTAGGTTGGATGGTAGAGTCTAGCGCGTTTTACTTCGAGCAGTTCACTCCTGGGTGGCCTGTGCCAAGAGGACGTGTTTGAAACGCAAGGTGGCGCGTAGACCTCGGATGGGTTCCCGCCGATGGATCAGTGGGCTGGCATGATGATAGCTAATAGTGTAGAAGGCGTGGACGCGTTCTGCAGAGCTCCATGTCGCGTCCCGCCTACGGGCCTTTTGAGCAAAGGTATAAATCCTAAACCTGGACACATCAATTTCACGACGAATCCAAGGTAGCTGGGAGGCGGCCGGACTAAGTGCAATGGCCTCAGACTCTTTATTTATGCCGCCGACATCGAAAGCATTTGCAGCCCAGCTCTTCAAGCTCTTACGCGTCCAGCTCGAGGTTTCGAGGGCTAATGGCAACAACAGGGCGCGCTGAACCCTTCTGGAACAGCTGGTTTGAGAGCTGGCGGTGGTTTGCTTCAAAAAACTGCCCGCTCGCACAAGCCCGCGTCGACAGGCCAGCATTGACCAACGAGACTGCTCACAGGGAGGCGAAGAAGTGACGCGCGTTCGAGGAGTTGGGCGAGAGGGAAGATGGAACAATGAAGCTGCTACAGAGCTGAAGAAGAGCATTGGCAGAAAGAACTTGTTATTCGTGCGTAGCCCATGTGCAGAAGACTGTGAGTCTGCCACCCAGTCTCTCTCAGGCAGTTATGGTCAGTAATATTTTCTTGTTACGCCGGGGTCTACCGTAGAAGCTTCTCTCAAGCACCTTGTGGCTTGCTCGAAAAGAATTTTGGTACATTGTGTAGACACGCACAGAATGTCGTAAAAATCCAGATCATGAGTCGTCGTAAAGTGTGATATAATCGTCTGAAGCTGTCACAGAAACGCCTGCGCTTGCAACTTCCATATTCTCGCGTACTCGCCCTCTTTTCTGAGCAGCTGCTCGTGTGTGCCAGACTCTACGATACTTGAATCATCCATATACCTACATGGCGCAATGAGCTCTCTTAGCGCCAGTAAAGATCAGGAAGGCGGGCCTTACAGAATGAGATCAGCGTGTCTTGTGAGGTTGCCAAACCGATGGGACGAGAAGATCATGGTCTTGTTCCCGCGCAGCTCGCGCAGGCGAACAAAGAGGTCTACAGACGAGCGAATAAGAGCGGTGTTCGAGACGCGAAGTGCTGACTCACCGTGTTCCGCGGTGGGGTCAAGCGAGGCGCTCGGCTCGTCGAACAGCAACAGTCCAACTTGCGAGTCCTCAGACACGACCGAGCGCATGAACGTCCGCGATCTGCATCACACACGGACACCTTCAGCACCTTATTTCCACGAAACTATGCGCAACTCACAGCGCCAATCTCTGCATCTGCCCGCCGCTCAGGCTCGTCGCTGCCGTCGCGGCCATGTTCCCCGCCATGCGCACCGAGTTGTAGTCGACCGGCCGACCGAAAAGCGTTTTCGTGCCCTCGGGCAGGCCGCTGTAGTGGTCCGTGACGGGCCGCTCAAGGTACGTGTCGAAGCCGTCGGGCAGGCGGTCGACGAGCTCCTCGGAGCCGCCGAGCTGCGCCGCGAGGCGGATCCGCTCGTCGTCGTCTGCGTGTGCGGGGTCGCCCAGCGCGATGTTGTCGCGGATCTGGGGAGGGTGAGAGGAGGCAATGCGAGGGAAAAGGTCTGACATACGGAAAGAGGGAAGTGCGTGTAGTCTTGGAAGAGGACGGAGGCGGCTTGTCGGAGATCGGCCAGCTTCAGAGAACGGATGTCTTTCCCATCGATGAGAATTTGCCCCTCGACTGGGTCGTATAAGCGAATCATAAGCTTGAGGATGGTGCTCTTGCCAGAGCCGTTTGCGCCCACAAGTACCTAGATAGGATGTCATTGAAAAGCCAAGCAGAATCTAAGTAGACTTACGCATAGCTGCCCCATTTCGAGCTTGAATGATACGCCCTTGAGTGCGAAGCTCCGGGCACCAGGATAGGCAAACGAGACATTCCTGCACAAAACGCCGTCAATGAAGATATCAGCTGAACCAGCAACTCACTTACCGGAACTCAACTGAGATTCCTGCGTGAACTTTCTGAGTGTCTTCCGGGAATGGCGTGTCTCCGTCCCGGATCCTGTTCGGTATATGAGAGGATTCATACAGCTTACGCACAGTTGCAAGCTGATCGGCAATGGATCCGGTTTGTTCGAAGAAGCGGCCAATGGCCCAGGTCAGGCTGCTCGTGTTCTCTTGTATGAGACTCAGGGACGCGAGTGAAACCGGTATAAAGGCTGGCTGCTGCACTGCTCGGAGCGCAAAGGCAATCTATGATAAATGACTGAGTAACTACCTATGAAGGGGCGTACACCTGACACACCTGCGGCAATTCACTGAGAGAGTCCCTGAGGAATATTCCAGGGCCAAGTTGTTCTCTGTTCCGATATTCTCGGTACGTCTCGTAGAAGTCGTCTGCGTAGTCTCCGACGCGATTAAGAGCGTGTTTGAACACTGTCAGTGACTAAATGTCAGAGGCGACTCGGCTGATATGGGCCCAGGGGACACGTACTTGCGGTGACATGACCGGCCATGTTGCCGGCGACAAACTCCTTTCGATGCTCAAGGTCATTGACGACTCGTTTGAGGCCCTGAAGCTTCACATAATCCTTGCTCTTCGTTGTGGCAGCCCAAACTAATCCATCATCATATGAGTTTGGCCCGCCTCAAATCGGAAGTTGTCCCACCTCCACCGTGCAGAGTCACTTTCTGCCATTGCATCCATTGAACGAGCTCAGGCACGAGACTCACGACAGCTAGGAGCGTGCCATCCTGTTGGTCTTTCAGCACTCTCGCGAGTACCGACGTCTGAGTGACAACTTTGATGGCGGTCGTCACCAGGCCAGACAGCATAGTGAACGTGCCCCATGCAACACTCTGCCCGTTGACATGCGATGCAGAGTCCAGTTGCCGTTGGACAGATGGGTCCTCGAAGGTCGGCACGTCCAGTCGCGCGCGGGCAGCAAAGAGGTGCACGGAGTAATGCTGCTTAAGCCGCGCTTTCAGGGGTAGGGTGATATGGCTCTTGGCGTACTTCAGCAAGCGGGTGAGTATCTTGCATACCCACATGCCAAACGTCACTCGGACGAGTAACGACTTGTCGACAGTCCGCGAGTCCACAGCAACTTGTACCTATCCCCGCGAACATTCGATGAGCCACGAAAAGAGTAAAATCGCAGAGTATACTGACGATGGTAAGAAGCTGCCCCTTATACCTAGTATGACGTATCAGTTAAACCCCAAAAATATCATCAGGAAGACACACCATAAAACGGCCGCGGGTACTAGCGCCCCAACGAGATCAAGTATCAAGTATAAGGTAAGAAGCAGCCAGCAGCTGCGGATGCTGCCAATGTCCTTGACCATGCGCCAAACATAGGGCAGTGTTTGTTTGAGTGTTAGGAACCTTTCTAGCCTTGAAAGACCTGGTACGCGTTCCAATTCGGGTATTTTCTCCTCGTAGAGGTCCCATACGCCAATGCGAGTGTGTTTGACGCGCTTTGTGTCTTCGGGATTGAATACGCCCTTGCGAGAGGTAATTCTGCGAGAGGCTCCTCGTCTTCTGCCGCCCATGTCTGGTTCGTAAGATCGTCTTCGTTAGTCTGGGGTATCTGTGTCTGAAAATAATGCAGCGGGAGACGTGTAGTAAAAATGAATGGCGAACACAGCGTGTGCTGGGGTATACGTCGCCGTCCACTGCTGCGCCACGAAGTCCAACAGGGCGCTCGTACGCGAAACACGGTGTCTGATTGGCGCCTATAAGTACCGAAGCGGTCGGCGCTAGACATAGAGAGGGGGACATACCGCATATGGAAAAGTAACCGTTCCGACGTATCTCAGGTGCTCAGGCCGTGCCTCATCTGCACTCAACCTTACCCTCCTCGTTCTCAGGCTCTCTGTCCCCGCTCCTCCTCCTCATCCGAGAAAAAAGTCACTATCTTGCAGCAAGAATCCTCCCGGGGACCAAGTTCGGACTTCATACAACAGGGCGACTGGAAGTATGCAACGTGAAGATGGTGAGTCTACCTGCAGTCATGCCGCACTCGCGGAGCCGATAACAACCCATCGCCTCCTCCAGGTCTTCGTCAATGACAAGAAATATGCCTGGTAGGCATGCTGCTACCGACATTGTACCGTCTACTAAACAAGGTCCAGCGAATCTTGCATAAAAGGACATCGATCGTCCTCATGCAGTCACACCGACAGACCCCTCTTCGAAGTGAAGAAGAAAGGCAGACCAGTTTCTCAATGTAACAAGTGTAGAGAGCTGCGCAAGACCAAGCGCATGCATTCCAAATGCGAATGCTCTGCCGAGAGGGCGGACAAGAGCAACATGAAGCAGCTAGCTGGCAAATGTATGGAGACATACCGGACTATCTTAGACAAGGTTCTCACACTTATCCCACAGCTAAACGATACATACCCATTCTACCCGCATTACCCAATGGCCTCAAGGACACATACTCTACGAACGACGACTCTATAATTCCTGATCCGAAATCCAGATGTACTTGCGCTGTCCACCTGTTCGTTGGGCGTTAACTGACGCTTTGTCCCTCAGTCGATAACCTGCTTAACCCTTGCTACTGCCAAGATATATACAGCTGCAAGTGCCGCGACAACGGCGCAGCTTGCTGTTCCGGCCTGGATGCCTTGGCCAATGCTGCGGCACTATGTTGCAGCCCCGAAAACAACATCCTCCTAGGGCCGTCGTTGCAACTGCCAACACCACAGGCGAGCAGCTGCCGTAGTATGACGCCTACTGCGTCTATTCCGTCTAAACGCCCTTGCAGTCGCTCGCCATCATCACGTCATGAAGACGACAGACCGCAGCGAGGCCCGTCACTTCCACCAATCCAGCTGCCCGAACTTCTCAACGCACCACCCGTATTCCCGATCCCGCCGCTCAGCACCGTCGCCTCTATCGCGGGCACCGGCTGTACCTGCGGCTTCGACTGCACTTGTCCGGGATGCGAGGAACACCGCGGCACGGAACACGCCTCGAAGGCGGCGGACGACTGTCCCGAATGCGGCCACTGCGTTGATAACCAGACCGGCCCCGAGCTGCCGACGTCCTCGGGCTACGTCTCGTCGCTGTCCTCCGCACCCTCCTCCCCGTCCACATCGGCGTTCGCGCCAAACGGGAGCTTCATCGACGCCTTCTTCGCACGCGTCGCGGCGACCATACCCCCGCCGCCGTCCCAGCGCGCGGCCTTCTCCGCGTTCTCGTTCGACCCGCAAAACGTGACGGTCTACCCGCCGAGCCTGTTCGCTGGCGAGCGCGAGCGGCTAGACAAGCAGGGCCCTGCGTTCGGGCTCGTCCGCCTCCCGAGGCTCGAGTGCTGCGCAGAAGGCTGCGAGTGCGGACAGGATTGCCACGGCTGCTGCTCTGTGCACCAGGGCCGAGAACGTGATGGGCGTGAGGGATGCGTCGAGCAGGATGCGGGCATGAGCCCTGTGGAGCCCTCAGCTATCGGTGGCTGTTGTTCCGTCTCGTCATAGAGTATGCGTTTCGCTCGTTTGAGTTCATCTAACATTGTATCTTTGGTGCCGCATCTGTGTTCTCTCGAGTGATGTAGTAACACATGTACTCTCTTTGGATTTCTTCGCGTTGTATTACTACTGGTATGCTCCGCCCTTCATTGCTATCACAAATGTCCCGACGTGTCCTACTGTGCTAGGCGTTTGTTCGTGTCTCAACGATGTCTCTCAAGCTCGCGGTGGGCACCGGATCGCTCGCCGCCAACCGCCCTCGAATTATCGAGGGACAAGAGGAGCGCGCAGCCGGAGCGCGAGTCGTTTGAAATTGGGGACAAACCCGCCAAGGCAAAATATTGAACAACCTGGCGGTACGGCGGTACGGGCCGCTTCGCCGTCTCGGGGACACAACAACTAAGCGGCTCTGCTGCAAGATTCACACAAGTGCGTACCGCCTCCACAACAAGGCCAGTAAGATATTGGACAAGGACCCAGTGTTGATACAACGCAATAGCGGTCATGAGACGTGGACATCACAACGCAATCTCGACATCCAGTCGAGCAAGATACGAGTATACGTCAGGGGACATGCGGTACTTGAGGATACCGGCGAAGACCATGATAGACCGCGACTTTTTGCGGAGGGCTCCGAATGTCTGACAAATGACGCGTCAGCAAGTTGGCAGCATACTCCAAGAAGTAACGTGTAAGCTCACCATCTGTCGGGTCGATTCAGTGACCATCGACGACTTGACCTTCTGGTGTACCGTCGCAAGCGCGTCCATCGTGAGCGGGAGGAACGTCTGCAAGTTCCTCTGGATCGCCTCGGGGAGATCCCTGAACTCCTCGGCGCGGCGCGTGATCTTGCCAACGTCGCCGTCCATGGGTACCAGATCGGTCGCTTCCATGATCTCGAGCGCGAGCTCCGCCCGCCCGCTCTCCTTCGCCTCTATCGCCTCGCGCACCCGGAGGAGCTTGATCACCGCGTCGCGGTCCTTGCCCACCGCCCGGTTCGTGCGCTCATAGTGTCGAAGGATGTCCGCCGCAGTGCGCTCGATAGCCCGCGCCTTCTCGTCGCCGCTCGGCTGGGTGATGGAGCTGCCGAGGGCTTGAGCGAGGCACGCAATGACAGTCGTGCAGTCGCCCGCGAGGTTGTACAGCTTGATTGCCTCTGGCGTCCGGTCGTTCTCCTCACAGTGCTTCGCGGCACGAACGAGGATTTGCTCGTTGTAGTTATCGAGATTGTTGAGCTTGAGAAGGGGAGCTCCTTGCTCGATGACACCGCTCTGTAAAAGGCTTTTAGTATAGCTTCCGACGCGAAGACAGCCCTCAAACTTACGAAACGAGTTCCATCCGGGCGGAAGCCACCAACGAGCTCTTCCCATCCTGCTCCGCTGTTCGCCAGAACAATGATCCTCCGAACGAGCTCCCAAGCATTTTCGACCTGTTCCTTGCCGACGCCATTAGGCTGGTCGGAGCAGAGAGTAGCGCAGTAGACATATTGCAGAGCCTCTTTAGCGTCCATCTTGACGAACTGCCTGATGTACCGCCAGACGAGTGTCGACAAGCTGATGGCGGGCTGGCCAACCGGGGGTAAGGAGACTAGCAACAAAGTGAGTGGTTATTATATTGGCCGGAGTGTTAACTTACGAGGTGTAAGGTCTGATGTTTCCGCGTGAGATGGTACGCGAAGCAGACCATGGTAGGCGAGAGCGATGGCGAGGTGCACTGCCTCAACCTCCGTCTCCGGGTGTTCCCAGAGTGCCGCAACAGCCTGCCAGGTTGTCAGTACGGTATCATGCACAAGTTTATAACACACATACCCGCTCGAATTGACCGCACATAAGCAGCACACCCGCCCATACACCATGCTTCGTGCCTTTCTGTCCTGCACCACCCTCGAAATGACGCTCGCCGTAGCCAAGAAGTACCTCTGCGAGCGCGCGAAGGCCACCGTGTTCATCTTCGTCTACCATAGACAGCTGGAACCACAGCCAGTCCTCGATAGTTACTGTTACCTGAGCTACACTCCGACGGCCTGGGTCGATTTTGCCCATGAGCTTGTAAAGTGCAAGCTTGAAGGGATCGGTCGTTGACGAATGGAGCATGTGGGCATTATATATGGAGTGGAGCTGATCTCGGTGAGGCTTGGGCAGACTATGAAGACGTATGAGTTGAGTGAGGAAAATAAAAAGGAGAGAAAAACTCGCCGTCTATCAGTAGATTCGACCCATGTCCTGAAGTGGCTCAGGAATGTCGGCTCGCGATGGTCGATTTGGACTTGGTATTTTACCGCCTCATCCAGGGCCTCTCGCAAGTGCCCAGTTCGCACCATGTAGAACAATTTCGCCCACACTGGTTGACCAGCGACGATCTATACGCCATTAGGACATGCAAATGGTAGGGAAAGCATATTCGTACCTCGATGCGGTCTTCCCACTCGCCCTGACGATAGTGCCTGACGGCCACGAAGGCGCGGACCTTGTTCGCCACGCTAGGGTCCCCACCAAGCCGCGCCTCCATCGGTCGCGCCTGGACGGTACGTTCTATGATGTCCCAGTACTGCTCCTCGAGAGCTTCCCTCGCGCCCCGAGCAATTTGTCTCCGAAGTTCGGCAGCATCACGCGACTCTGGGTCACCCAAATACACCCGGGCGTGTTTGCGCTCGAATATTGGCGCATTCAGTATGTGCGCTCCAGCATGTTCTATAGGTGGCAAAGCTGGTGGTTCGCCTGTTATTTTGGCAACAATGTGGAAGTTTTGAGTCATCTGCATGGTGCGTGGCTGGAAATAAACCTAAATATTGAGACGATTACGGGTCGAATTGTGGCACTCACGTCGAGGTTGACCGCCAGAGAAGCCTCTATGAGACCATGTATGACGGGGAATGATGTTCCCTGCAGTCGCGAAGCATTCAACTTTGACACGACACGGTCATATGCCATCATCTTATTTTGCATCTGTAGATTTGGTGCCGGGCCCACACTCGTCTGCTGCAATGAGTGGCCAGCTGCATACAAAAACACGAGCTACGCACCGACAGCAGATTCCTTCCGCTAATGCTCTTCTTCAACTCTGTGACAGCTTTGTTCTCGCCACCTATCCGCCCGCCCAGTTCTTCGAACACGCGTCGCTTCTTCGCCTCCCAATCCCGCTGCTCACGATCCTCGAGGACGCGATAAAACTCCTCCTGGGTCTCTTTCCGCGCCTCTTCGATGGTTGAAATCAGGTTTTGCTCGTGGGCATGGCGAAGATAGCCCGCAACGTCTGTATCTTGCAGGGCTTTCAGGGGGGTAAAAGTGGTACCCGTGTTCAGGTGCGCGATCTCGCTGGCTAATGCTGGCGCGTCAACGCGGGCTTGGGCGAGCAGATAATTTCTGGAGTGTATACCCGTCAGTTTTGAGCTAGTTCTATCTTGAAGACTCTACATACGCTTTCCCATCGTCACTGGGCCCAGGCTGCCGTGATACCAGTCTCCGCGACTGCGCCTCGATTTGGTCGAGCGAGAGCTTCACGGATGGCAGGTCCGGCTTGGAGAGGTGCGCTGTGAGCGCCTTCGACGCCGATAGCAGCGATGAGAGGTCTGAGGCCATTCCGCCGACTGCAACAGAATTTATGCAGGATGATGAAGCGTAGGCCACTCAAAGGCGGAGAGCAAGAGGGATAGGTTCAAGTGCAAGAAGCGCTCACATGAACGCGTCCACGCAGCATTCGCGCGCGTTGCCACTCCCGGTGACCGGTCATGCGGTCCATGGCCACAGCTGTTGTAAGCTCTCATGCACTCAGCAACACAGAGATGCTAACTGCAAAAATTTGAATGCTTAATACAGCTGATTATCCGATGCTGTTCTGCGTAGTCTTGCTCAGTACTCCACTTTGTGGTCGCAAGGGCTTCTCGAGCTTCCTGCTGGCAATGCATGCAATTTATGTATCCAGATTTTGCCAAGATGTGCTGCACGTCGCGTCGAAGTCATATGTTGTTATTCCGTCTTCAAGACACTCAGTACTTTAATTCAAGGTATTCACCACGGAACACGCATAGGAACGCATGTCCGGCGTACTGCCTCGTCTCCACGACAAGCGCAGACATGCCAGGCTCGCCAGGAAAAGCACCATTTCCACATTATCGGAGCCTTCCTAGCCTGCAGCTAAGGGGCAGATTCCCTGACAGCGTGTAACTTACCGAAAAGTACTGATACACGAGGCGCATGCATCGATCTCACGCCCGTCCCCTTCTACAGCGTGATACTTGCTCTCACTACCCCCAACGAACTCGCTGACAACCGACAATGCCTGCTCGTGGCAATGCTGTCGATGCTATCCTTGACGCCTCCTCTCCTCTCCTTGAGATAGCGGAGGGTGCTCTCGAGCTTGCGCCTATACCAGGTCTAGCTCTGATCGCAAAAGGGCTGGCGTATATTGTCGAAAGGGTCAAGGTGCGCGTATTCTAGCCGTCGGACAAGTGGAGTTCCCCAACGTCATTTCTTCATTGATAGGTCGCCAGGGAGAATAACGAGGAACGTCATGCCCTTCTCGCTCAAGTCAAAGAGCTTGGGACCGTTATCAATAGGGCAGCAACGAAGGTGCGAACCATAGTAGCGGAATACGATGGAGACGAACGTGGCAAGAAGGAGCTGGTAGAGAAAATCAAGCACTCTGACGAGCTTCAGGAGCGAATACGGGATTTGCTCAGGTATAACGAGAACCTATCGTAAGTTGGGTGACGCTGAGAGGAACACAGCACAATCGGCGAACTGCAAGGGCGCGCGGGAGAGCTGAAGGGCGGAACAGGAATTAGCGGGTTCTCCAAGAAATTCATCTACGCATCTCGGAATCAAGCCATTATGTCTGAAATGAAGCAGGCATTAACAAGTGCTACAAATTTATTTCAGGTACGCTTTCTCCATCAATTCCCGACTCGACGCGCGACCTAATGCATGTACGATTATTTCAGCTCCGCGGCTCAATCTCCATCGAGAGCATCCTGACGAGCGTTGCAGCTGCAACCAAGGCAAGCGCAATGCTAACGTCTAAGCTACTCACCAACTGACACCGCTCTACAGCAAATCCAGCGCCAGCTACAGGAAGCTGGTGAGTTTGTCAACGTGCGCCCTCGTGCACGATTTTGACGTAGGATACTAACCACCGCTTCTGAAGAGGACCAGAGAATCCTGGATTCCATTCTTCGCGCATCTGCAAGCTATCGCTCGGTCGATGAACTCAAGAGCGGGTTCATGCAAGGCACTCGGGAGGAGCTCTTTGCAGAGCTAGATCGTTGGTCGGCTGGCCAGTTCCCCGAAGACGAGCTTAAGCGCTTCTACCTCCTCTGCGGCGGAGCGGGTCTGGGGAAGTCTTCGATCGCCCACCAATTATGTACGCGGATTGAGACAGCGGAGCAGCCCTCACTCAGGTTGGGCGCATCGTTCTTCTTCGTCCGCGGCGGCGGAGATCTCGAAGCCGCTCGCCTACTCTTTCCCACCCTTGTATACCAGCTTGCACAGTTCCGGCCAACACTTCGCCCTCACATCGTCAACGCTGCGCGGGAGTATCTCAAGCACGGTGATTCACAACAGACGCAACACGCATTCGAAAAGCTACTTCGAGAAGCTCTCACCGCCGCTCCCGTATCTGATCAGGTACCGACGTTGCTCGTCATCGACGGGTTGGACGAATGCAAGGACAGGAATCTGGTTCCTGATTTGCTTCGATCCTTGCTGAGTCTTGTCCGCGAGTTACCCTGGCTGTATGTCTTCGCCGCATCCCGGCCAGAGCCTCATATCCTGTCGGTGCTTGCATCTTCCAGCTCCGCCAACATTGTTCATCGCAGGCAATTGGAAGACACGTTAAAAAACTGGGCCGGCGATGTGGAATTCTACCTCAAGAAGACGGTCCCGAAGATCCCTTTGTACGCCGATTACCTCGACAAGCACCCTGACGCCCTTGAACGCCTCATCTCGCATGCGGCCGGCGTGTTCATCTTCGCCCGCATCGTGGTGAACTTCTTGGATACACACCAGAATCACCCAGAGGAATGGTTTGAACTTATTCTCTCAGATGGAGGTCCAGCAGTATTGCCCCTCGACACATTGTACTTGCAGATCCTACAGTCGGCATTTCCCCCAGAAGACTTACGCGCCTCACCTCGTCAGCGTGAACGTCTCCTTTCCCTCCTGCGTTTCGTAGCGTTGGAATCGGAAAGGGTAAACCCCGATACTATTGCATTTTATGAACGCGAACTGTCCGTGGACGACGTCTTCTTTATGGTTGACCGCCTCCGCTCCGTGTTGACGATCGACAAGGACGAGGATGTGGTGCCCCTCCATGCCTCCTTTGGCGAATTCCTCGTCGATGATCGTCGCTGCAGTGACGCACTCTACCATGTGGACAAGTCCGAAGGACATGCTCACCTTGCGTGTGTCTGTTTGTCCGCCATGTCCTTCGAAAATTACACATATGTCCGGCAGAGGTTTAGAGACCTGACGTCCATGCATGCACATATTAACCTTGACATAATGGAGAGGAGCTGGTCGGTGCATGTTAGGCAGGCCGCATATACTTCACAGTTGGAAAAGCAGCTATCTCAGTTTGTGGGAGATATCCGACTGACCTTGCATTCATGGGTATACAAGGAGTTTGCCCCTCAAATGGAAAATCATCGTTTACAGATTGTATGGGACTATCTTCAGGTGGGTAACTGGTTGTAGTCACTCACGCATACAGTTGTAGTATACTAAGGGTTTTGTTTATCATTCGTGATGTAGCCTTCCGGAGCTAGAAAAGCAATATGCTCTGAGTTCCTCAAGTTTAGCATATATGTCAATCTATGGCAGTTCGGCGTGCTTACATCTCCGAATCGTACTCCACCACAAATCAGCTCGAGCGACATATCTCAGGCCATCCGAAGGCTTCCTCGCGAATTCGAACAGCTGCTTCCTGACCTGGACCTCGCCGTCGAAAACAGCCTCTTGGCACGATACCAGGCTCGCATGGAGAACTTCATGACAGAGGTTAACCGAGATGAGGAGACCAGGAAACTGTGGTGCGAGGACTTCTATACGTACGAGCAAATTCATCTGGCAGGTCTCGACCGCCCCGACTCGGAGCCCAGTACGCCTCTCCATGGCCCAATTACTGCTTCCCCGTCGTCTTTATCCATCGCTACCGTAGCATCAGAGACGCTTTCTACTCCGTCACCGGAGAGCAACACTATCCCCTTGGGCGATGGCGGTACTGCATCCGACACAGCCGATGACGTCCCGTCGCCACTTGATCCCTAGTCGACGACGGACTAGCCGGCCACCCCCGGGCCCCGCATGTAGCGGCGTCTGGTACTCGTACCAGGCTAGCACTTGCACCTACAAGAGCCTAGGGCCCTCCACATTCCCGCTTATAATCCCGATCCCCACCAACGTCGGCGAAAAGCCCATTGCCACAGGCACGAAGACTTGGAGAAAGAGAAGAACCGAGACATATTGACCATGTACACTTGTTATCATTCTCATCTTTCCATCTTTCCGCTGCCATGGACAAAGACATTCGATCACTCCAAAGAGTAGCTACATCCCAGTACGATAGAGATGCTGTAATCACTACACACAAAACAAGTAGGATGGTGACATGGAAAGGAACGGCACAGGGAGAAGTCCGGCAGAGGAGGCTGCCACGGCGAGGATCTCACTCGTCCGAGTCGTCGCTTGGCGTCAGGTCCTCACCGCCGCTGGGCACCCGCTTTCGCACACTCTGCGATCTTGGCGGCGGCCGTTCGTCCTTGTCTAGCGGAGTCGGCACAGAGTTGTGCGACTCAGACTCGGCGCCAGGGGCGGCAGGCGCACTGCGCAGGCCGGCGCTGAGACTCGCGCAGTCGAACGTCGTCCTGCAAATCTTCATCTCGTACACGTCGCTGCAAATCCTGAATATCGGCGCCCAGGTTTCGACGCCATCAATGAATAGTAGGCGACAAAAAGGAGCGGCGAAGAATGCTCACATTATGACGGTATCGTTGTAAAAACTAGACCACTAGCACGCGCTGACGGAATGAAGGTTTCGTATCCGGAGGCCCTAGCGACGGACAAGGTAGCATGGCCAGCGCGACCCTCGATCTTCGCTCCACCGTCAAGTCGTCGATATTTTTTTGGCATATACCTTCAGAGAACCGCCAGCGGCGCGTAGAAGAATGTGCAGGCCATATGGCGTACATCCTTGTCTGCTAATCGCACGCAGCTATATCGCGTTTCGTCTGCTCGGGCATCTGCGACTGATGGTTCCGACCTTGACTGACTCGACCTCGTTCATTTTGCAACTCAACGTCCTTGAGATGAAACAGCAAGAACGGGTCGAAGACTGCGCATATACTTTTTCCACCTGTGATTCAGCCCGGGCGTCGTCTTGGTCGGCGCAGGTGGCTGGGAATTGTCCGACCTGCGCGGCATACGCAAGGATGGGGGTGGATGCCACCACCAAGCCCTTCCCATATATATATATATATATATCGCACTTCAGTTGAAAAGCGTGATGCTCTCCGAACTAACTCGTTGACGCCGTAGAGCCGGTCGAAGCAAAAGGCGATGCAGGAGATATTTCGCAGGGCTTCGTTAGCACTCGTCTTGACGAACTGTCTCGCACATTGACAGTCGAGAGCTAACGGGCTGATGGCGGGTTGGCCGGCTAGTGGCGAGGAGGCTAGCGGAAAAGTGAGTGATCGCCGCACCAATTAAAGGCGTAAACTTACGAAGTGTAAAAGATTTGAAGTCTCCGCGCGAGACGGTACACGAAGCGGACCGTGACAGGTAAAGGCAATGACCAGGTGCACAGCTTCAACTTTCGAATCCGGATATTCCTGAAGTGCTACATGAACCTAGCGAGTGATCAGCACTATACCACACCAGTACGCACACCCCACCCAAACCGGCCGTACCTGAGCAGTACACCAGCCGGTGCACCACACTTGCGCCCCTCTATCTTGCACTCCGCCTTCGAAAGCTCCTCTCAAGTCTCCTTCCACGCTTCTTTGATAGCTGACATCGGGTTTCGTTCGTATGACAGGATAGCTTGCAACGTCGGTGTCATGTGCAAGGGGTACTACAACTGTAGCAGTCGCGTAGGAATGGTGGTGCAACTCGATTCACGTTCAAGGAGCTGGAAGCGTGCTCGGGCGTGCTCAGGTGCGCAAGTTCGCTGGCCAGTGCCGGTGTGACAATGCGGGTCTTCGTGAGCGAGTAGTTCCTAGAAGATATCAGAGTTCTTTGCTCGGGCCTCTACGCACGCTCTGCCACCATATTGCGCCCCGGGAGCCGTAGCACCAGTCTCCGCGATTGCGCCTCAATCTGGTCTTTGTCGAGCGAGAGCTTCGCGAATGACGACGTGAGGGAGGTAGGTGCACTGCAGTGATTCTGGTCAAGGTCAAAGCGGCTGGGTTGGCAAGAGGAGGCGCCCCCGCAAACGTCGCGTCCTGTTCGTGTTATTTGTAGCTTCTGCTGCGGGTTCCAAATGTGCTCTTATTGTCGCATCGACGGCACGGCCAGATGCCACTGTGTCAGAGAGTGAAAAGGTTCCGGGCCTCGTGGAGGGCGATCGTGATCGAGGCAGAAGAGACCCACGCTGCGCCAAGGTTGACTACTGTCCACTTTCCTCTCATCGTCCTATCGTTTGCAAGAGACCGTATAGACAGAGGGAGGTGAATATATACGGTAGGTAAGTGATGTACTACTATGCTGCGCCGCGCCTCGCCAGCGGTCCATCGTACACGTAAAGTTGTCACCCAATATGACTAGCTGATTCTCGCTGCCAGACGTACCGCTGCGCCAAGTTACGAATCACTCGGAGAAAGCACCCAAGGAAGCGCGGACTCTGCTCGTTGCCAGCACTTGTCTCTCGCGAGAGGTGTCGTACAGGTCATATTGCCGGTGAATACTGCCCATGCTGTCAGTGCTCAAGTCTCTCCAGACGCTGACACGGACTTCTCTCGGACGCGGTGAGCCTCCTGTACGCACTCTTCCGCCGCGGAAAACTCGACTGACTAGCGTACGTTTGCTGCGTAAAGGCACGCAGCCATCCACGCGGAACATAACACCGTGGAGACGAGCCATGTCTTCCACATCGGAGCCGGGTGCCCAGAGGATCGCCAATGCGAGGGACGAGAGAAGGTGGAACCGGGTGAGCCGCCGCCGCTGAAGGCAACATCTCCTCGGAGACACCCAATGACGACGGATCTGCCGCTTTCCCTCCAGCTCTCGGACGGCATGTCCCGCTTCCACGAGTACTTCAAGGCAGAGTGTGAGTGCCCGTACTCCATCGCCAGCAGGAACAGACCCCTCACCTAGCTCGCTTCCCCCGCCATGTGGGCACGTCCCGCGGCGCAGTCAACGCGATCTACGAGGTGCGTCCCGCGCTTCGCGCCTCCGCGCGGCCCTTCCGCGCAGCTTGTTGACACCGTGCGCGAGCAACCCCTCCCAGATGGCGGACGGCTCGTTCAGCAAGCGCGGCATGAACCTGCGGATGTACCTCTCCTCGGCGGGCGAGCTCCGGAAACGTGCGTGTTCAATTTTCTTTTCTTTTCTAGTCACGCGCGCCACTTTTTTGCCACCTCTTGGCCCGTTGCTGAGTCGGTCCGGCCCAGATCTCACCGTGCACCACACGATCGAGGAGCGCCACATATTCCCTCTGCTCGCGAAGCGCATGCCCACGTTCAAGGACGACGAGCAGCACATCAAGAGCCACCACGGCATTCACGAGGGTGAGCCGTCCCCTCCCCCTCTCCCTCCACTGCAACTGTCGCCTGTGGACTGACATGCGCCAGGTCTCGACAAACTTGGAGCCTTCATCGAGAAGTGGCTGGCGGAGCCGGCGACGTACAGCCCCGAAGAAATGAAGGCGTGCTTGGACGGCTGGAGGGAGGTGCTGTTCAGGCACCTAGACGAAGAGGTCTGTACCGAGCGGATCCGGCGCGCGCGCCCACTTCTGACATTGTGCGTTATCAGGTTGAGGATCTCCGCGGGGAGAATATGAAGAAATATTGGACCCTGGAAGAGGTCGACCGGATTGTGGTATAGTGTCGTACATGCAATGGGTATACCCTGCGTCCGTACGCTCTGATTGGATTGACTGTGCTGTGAATTCGGGTACTGCTAGCGGCGGCATGGTACGTTTGCCTGTGACTGCAGTTCTCCTCATCCACCCCGAGCTTAGCCGATGAAGATCCCAACTGGCATCAGAGCCTAATTGACAGCCTGTCCAGATCCGCTACCAGCGCGTTTCCGTATCCGTAACTTCGGTACTAGTACACGGGACCCAATGCATGAGAACTCGTGCCCGTTCCTTTGCGCCTTATGTCCGCTCGCTCTGCCCGCAACACACCAACCACTGTCGGCCATGTCGCATTCCGAGGCCGTCGAAATGGCCCTCGATGCCGCCCCTCCGCTCCTTGAGCTGGTAGGAGACGCCCTCCAGTTCGCCCCCGTACCGGGTCTCCCTCTGATCGCGAAAGGACTCGGCCTTCTTGTCGAGAGAGTCAAGGTGCGTCGGTCCCAGTAGTCGTCGTCGGACGGACGAACAGCACTCTTCCAACACTCCCCCCGCTTTGCAGGTCGTCCGGGAGAACAACGCAGCGCGCGGCGCCTTCCTTGTCCGGGCCGAGGAGCTCAAGAGTGTGATCGACAGGACTGCGGCGAAAGCGCTGGTTGTAGTGGCCGGGTACAGCGGCGACGCGCAAGACAAGCGGGACCTGCTGGACAGGTTCCAGCACTCTGATGGCCTTCAGAAGCGGATGAGGGATCTGCAGAGGTGCGTGAAGTGTCCGATGACCGTTGGTACATGACGCCGATCCCAGCTCAGCACAATCGACGACCTCCGGGGACGCGCGGGAGAGCTGAAGGGCGGGAAATGGTTCCGCGGATCCGTCAAAGGGTTCGTCTACAGTTCTCGGAACCAGGCGATCCTGTCGGACATGAATGATGAAATGAAAAGGGCAATAGAACTATTCACGGTACGCCGGCCTCGTCGACTCTTGATGTTGCGCTATATGACGCGTGCTTGCTTGCCCCAGCTCAGCGGCTCCATCTCCATCGAGAGCATCCTGGTCAGCGTTGCACAAACTACGAAGGTTCGTACGATGCCATCATCTCGGACGGCTCATCCATAACGGCGTTCTACAGCGAATTCAATGCCAATTGCGTGAAGCTGGTAAGTCTTATCAGCCCGTCTCTCGTCACTGACGTGAACGCAGAGACTGATCACCGCCCCTGCAGAGGATCGAAAGGTCGTGGATTCCATCCCTTGGGCGGATGCAGGCTATCGCTCGGTGGACGAACTCAAGAGCGGGTTCATGCAAGGTACCCGGGAGGAGCTATTCGCAGAACTGGAGCGGTGGTCGACTGGTCGATTCCCCGAGGATGACCCCAAGCGAGTGTACTTCCTCGGTGGCAAAGCAGGCCTAGGAAAGTCGTCGATCGCCCACCAGCTCTGCGTCCGCCACGACACGAAGGGACAGCTCTCGCTCAGGCTCTGGGCCTCGTTCTTCTTCGTCCGCGGTCGCGGAGATCCTGATCCCGCACGCTTGTTCTTCTCGACCCTCGCGCGCCAGCTTGCCGTGTCCCAACCGACCCTCCGTCCTCATATCATCAGTGCCGCGCGAGAGCACCTCGACTACGGTGAGCGGCAGCGGATGCAGCACGGATTCGAAGGGCTTCTCCGGAAGGCTCTTCTCGCCGCCCCCGCGTCGGACCAGGCCCCGACGCTGCTTGTCATCGATGGGATAGACGAATGCACGGACAAGAAGCTCGTTCCCGACTTGCTTCGATCCTTGCTCAAGCTGGTCCGCGAGCTTCCCTGGCTGTATGTCTTTGCCGCGTCACGGCCAGAGCCTCGAATCCTGTCAGCGCTCGCACATTCAAGTTCGGCCGACGTCGTCCACCACATGCGTCTGGAGGACGCAGCGAACAGTCGGGGCGACGTCAGGCGTTACTTCGAGGAGACCGTGCCGAAGATACCCCCGTACGCCGAGTTCATCAAGAAGAACCCCGATGCCCTTGATCGCCTCATCAAACGCGCGAACGGCGTGTTCATCTTCGCCCGCGTTGCGGTAAACTTCTTGGACGAGCATCACAACCACCCGGAGGAGTGGTTCGAGCTTCTTCTCTCAGGCGGGCGACCGGCGACGTCGCCTTTCGATGCGCTGTATCTGCAGATCCTGCAGACCGCGTTTCCCCCGGAAGACTTGCGCGCCTCGCCCCCCCCCCCCCCCGAACCGCGAACGTCTCCGCTCGCTCCTGTGCTTCGTCGCGTCGGAATCCCGCTGGATAAACCCTGACACCATCGCGTTCTACGAACGCAATCTGTCCGTCGACGACGTCTTCCACATGGTGGACCGCCTGCACTCCGTGTTGACGATCGACAGGCGCGGGCGTGTGGTGCCGCTTCATGCCTCCCTTCCGCGAGTTCCTCGTCGACGAACGACGTTGCGTTGATGCGCTCTACCACGTGGACAAGTCTGAAGGACACGCTCACCTTGCATGTGCTTGTCTGGCAGCCATGTCATTCGAGAATTACTGCCATAACCTGCAGGAGCGGGATCCACGGTCTCGCCTTGCGTGTGTCAACTTCAACATAATGGCAGGCAAGTGGTGGGTGCATGTCAGGCATGCCAAATATACCGCCGAGCTGGAGGAGCATCTATATCGGTTTGTGCAAGATATCCGACTGGCTTTGCATGCATGGATATACACGGAGTTCGGTCCTGATCAGATAAACTGTACTACACAAGATATATGGAATTATCTCCAGGTGGGTGATTAATCTCAGCCACTCGTGCGCTCAATAAATCATGAGGGCCATATTGACGCGCTCGCTTTTCTACTTATGATGCAGCCTTCCGAAGCCAGGAGAGTAATATGCTCCGAGTTCCTCAAGTTCGGAATCTATGTCAAACTGTGGCAGTTTGGAGTTGCCAGATCCCCAAACCACACTCAACCGCAAGTCACTTCGGGCGACATATCACGGGCCATACAAAAGGTTCCTCCCCAAGTCCAAGAGTTGCTTCCTGGCCTGGACCTCACTGTTAACGATAGCCACTTGGCACGATATCAAGCAATCATGGAGGACCTCATGACGCAGATAAACCAGGATGCAAGAACCAGGGAGGTGTGGCGTATAGGTTGGTCTACGGAGGTAGTTTATTTGGCGAGCCAGGACACCCTCTACGATGTTGAGCCCACTGCCATGCCTCTCCGTGTTCCAACTATTACTGCCGCATCATCTTCACCCACCACCACTGTGGCACTATCAGAGACATTTTCCACTCCGCCCCCAGAGAATGGTACTGGTCCCTCTAGTGACGAGATGAGGTGCCCGATGCGGCCGATGATGTCCTGTCGCCCCTTAATGCCCTCGACGATGGACTTGCCGGCTACCCTGCAACTCCCCATATGGCGATGTCTGGTATTTATACCGGCTCAACGCCTGCGACCGCAGACGGAACATGGCCCTCCATACTCTCCTCACCTATCCCAGGCTAAGCCGATGAAGGTCCCGCTGTACCCAGCATGAAGGCTTTGTGGGAAGGGAAAAAGAAGGCTTAGATGCAGTACTGACCGCATAACACCTCCACTCGCCCACCGCTACTGCCGCATCTTTCCTGTCACAGTTGCGGAGAAATATGTATTGGATTACTCCAGGGGCTCGTGAACCACAGTCTAGTATGATACAAATGCTATATAGACGGCGATACGCAAAACAAAGTAGGATAGTGACATAAAAAGAGGTGCAGGAAGAAGCCTGAAGGAGAGGGTCTCAGCGGCGAGGACCCTACTCATCATCGCTGGGCGTCAGGTACTCGTCGTCGCTCAGCACCTGCTTCCGCCCGTTCTTTGACTTTGGCAGCGGCCGCTCGTCGTCGTCCATCGGCGTCGGCGCCGAGTCGTACGCCCCGGACCCGGCGCCAGCAGGCGCGCCGGGCAGGCCGCTGCCGACGATGGTGCGGTCGAATGTCGCGTTGAAGATCTTCTCCATCTCGTCCGCATCGTTGTACACCCACGAGCCCTCCTGGTTGTACGTCCGGGCGTTGTTGAACATCAGCCGCCAGTCCTCCCGAAAGTCGAGGACGGACTTGTAGTAGTTGCTCGTGATGCGCTTCCGGATGGTGGACATGGCGATCGGCTGCTTGATGACCTCGTAATAGTCGGGGTAGAGCTGCAAGGAGAGCCGTCAGCATGCCATAACGCCAACCAGCTCGGTAATTCACACACCTTCTTGTCCGGAAGCTCCTTGAACAACTCACATCGCCGGCGACTGGTGTCGTCCTCAGACTGAAGAACAGCCTTGTAGCACTCGTTGTAGGCCTTCTTCATCTTCTCCTTGACCGCAGCTGGTACCTCCGCCGGCTTTGTCTTCCGCCGCTTCGGGTCGCGGTCCTCAGGCTCGTCGCCGTCGACAGAGGGCGAGACCGACATGGCCTTGCCACGCTTCCGCTTGCCGTTCGACGGCGTATCAAACGGTATGTCGATAACCTTGGCCTTGCCCTTTTTCGCCTTGCGGCCACGCGGAGTGTCGTCGAACGCCGGCGAGTTGCGCGAATCTACCTCCTTGAGAAGCTTGTTCGCGGCACGCTTGTCCTTCTGCGCGCGCGCGCGCTCGGACAGCTCCTGGATGTCCTCGCCCTCCTCGAGCGCTATCGCCCACTGGTCGTCGCTGAGCCCGTCGTTGTAGTTCACGGCCGTCCGCTTGCGCGCCCCACGACCCTCGAACTCCTCGAGCTCGTTGCTGTTCGCGAACGGCTCGTCCGTCCGGTAGCAGTCTGGCAGCTCGTCGAGGCTGATGAGCGGCGGCGGCGGCTTGCCGCGGTTGCCCGACGCACGCCACGCCTCCATTGCATCACGGTCACGCTTGATGTCGAATTCTCGGAAGGTGCCGACCTCTTCTTCGTTTCGGGCGATGATCTCGTTGATCTCTTCGTCGTTCATGTCGCCCGCCTCCTCGTTCTCCTCTTCCTGGTCCGCCTCAAGGATCGAGCGCAAAAACTCTTCCTGCTCCTCCTGCGTCGACTTATTGTCGAACCGACCGGCCTGAATGACCTTGTCGTCGATGTCGAGCTTGTACCGCGCACGCGCGAACATCGCTTCCTCAACACTCTTCTCGGTGATAAACCGAAGGATGCGGACAACCTTCGTCTGGCCGATACGGTGCGCACGATCCTGGGCCTGAAGATCAGCATGGGGATTCCAGTCGGAGTCGAAGCTATCAAAGAGCGGTCAGTAACGCAGATAGGCGCTCAAGGAAATATCACGTACATGACGACCGTATCGGCAGACTGCAAGTTGAGACCGAGACCGCCAGCGCGAGTCGATAAAATGAAGACTTTGTAGTCAGAACCCTCAGCATTGAACAAGGCGACATGACCGGCACGATCTTCCGTCTTTGTTCCACCATCGAGACGCAGGTACTTCCAGTTCATCATCTTCAGGAAGTCCTCCATAATGTCCATGACTTTGGTCATCTGGAAGAAGATGAGGACGCGATGATCGGTGGCAAAGAACTTCGGCAAGATGCGGGAAAGCAACTCGATCTTGCCGGACGTTCGGAAGATGAGGTCATTGACGTAGCCCGAGGGGTTAACATTGTCTTCGACGCTCTCGAACAAGAACGGATGCTGGCAGATCTTTCGGAGCTGCATGAGCTCGTTGCTCAAGCCCTTGACACCACCGGGTTTACTGCGACAGTATTAACAACCCACGAAACGGCATAAAGCTACCGCGACGCACCCCTTATTGTCCTTACCGTCCGCTATCATCTTGTACTTTTTCATCTGCTTGTACAGCTGCGACTGGAGAGCGCTCATCTTGACCTTGATAACCTTCTCGACCTTATCTGGCAGCTCCGACTCGACGTCCTTCTTGAGACGACGCAGCAGGAACGGACGGAGCACCTTATGCAGACGCCGAATGATGAGCAGCGCCTCTTCTTCGTTCAGCTCGATCTTGTCGCCCGTGCCCGAGTTCGCGAACGGCGTGTTGAACCATTCGTCGAACGATTTGACGGAATTGAAGATCTTGGGAAGCACAAAGTTGAGCAGCGACCACAATTCCGGGAGGTTGTTCTGAAGCGGGGTACCCGTGAGAATGAGGCGATACCGTGAGTGGTAGTGCTGGGTGAGCGTCTGCGAGAGCTTGGACTGGGTGTTTTTCATACGATGACCCTCATCTAAAAGAGCCTCAGTATCGAGGCGCACAAAGGAAAGGAAAACCACGTGCCGATGATCATGTGCACCCACTTCATGCGACTCAGGACCGGCCGGTCTTTGATGATGTACTCATACGTGGTCAAGAGCACTTGGAACTGACCGCCGCGAATTTCGTTTTGCAAAGCACGCCGCTGAGTCGGGTTGCCCTTGTAGGAGATCGCCCTGACGCCAGGCGCCCACTTGGCAAACTCGCCCGACCAGTTCGTCATCGTAGATAGAGGAACGATGACGAGGTAAGGTCCCCGCTGCTTCTTGACCTCGATCAAAAAGGCCACAAGCGAGATGGTTTGTATCGTCTTGCCGAGACCCTACACGACATCGGTTAGCAGTGAGCAAAATGGTCGTCAGGTTTTACGCACCATCTCGTCTGCAAGGATCCCGTTAAGCTTGTTGTTGTACAAGCTGACCATCCACTGCAAGCCCTTGAGCTGATAGTCCTTGAGCGTACCGCCAATCAGCAGGCTAGGCTGCCTCGTAACCTTCTCCTTGATGCGATGCGCGACCGCGTAGTAATCGAGTTTGCCCTTGTCCTCGTCAGGAATTTGCTTCTGGGCGCCGAACGTCTCCTCGCTAGTGGGCTCTTCGTCCGGTTGCCAGCTCGGATCGCCTTGCTTCTGCTGCTCCATGACAGCCTGGGCAAGCGAATCAAGAAAGGTGTCGGTCTGGCGAAGCAAGTGGGTAATACGGGTGTCTTTGGCGGTATCGATAAGCTTCATGTAGGCCTCTTCATCGTCCGCCTTCAGCGCCTTCAGACGCTCCTTCGCCAAACGCTCGATGCGCTTCTGCTCCTCCTTCTCGGTGTGGGCATGGAAGCTCGCGATAGCTTTCGAGAGCTTAACGATGCGATCCTGGGCGGTACGGTTCACTGCGTGCACTTCTCGTCCATGGTCACAGATCGTCTTGAGCTGTTCAACATGCTTGGCTTTGGCCCTACGTTCGCGCTCTGCTCGCTGCTTACGCTCTGCCTGCTCTGTCATACGAGCGTCGCGTATTGTTGGCTTGCGTGTCCTGCGGAATTCTGTGCGGTTCAGGGGGAGCGTGGACCCGTGGACGAGGCGTTCTGCGACCATGGCGCGCATCTGCCGTTGCTTGTCGAGAAGCCGCAGTGCCTTGAGCTCGATCACAGCCCGCAGCTTGCCGTGCGTGCCTGGAGGAGGGTGGATGAGAGACTTCAAGTCAGTCGCATTCTCCTTGTTCTCGGGAGCGTCGCCGTCCGGCACGATAGGCTCCAAGCCGCCGTCGCCCATAAGAGCGGGCAGGTCCTCGAGCTCACGGATGCGCTGTTCTATACGAGCATCGACAAAGCGATTGCGTTCGGCGATAACTTCCTGAAGATCAAGACCAGCGGGCATGATGGAGGGGATAAGCAGCCGCTGGAGGCGGGTGGCAAAAAGGGCGGGGTCGACGTTTGGATCGCGCTTGAGATGTGTGAAAGGATGCATGTATGCATTGTACGGGTATACGCCTGAGTCGACGTTATCTTCGAGGAATGGGCCCTTCGGCATGTCCGTCATATCCTGCACGATCTCCTCTTCTGCCTTAATCTCGGCAACGGCCTCGCCGCTGCTGCTTGAGGTGCCCGGTGCTGGTATTGCCGACGCAGGGGCGCTTTTGTGGACTTTCACAGCACTATCGACAACTCTAGAGTTGATGTCTCCGCCATGAAGCAACTTCTCCAGCTCGGGAACCGCTTGGTTTGGCACACGTACAGCTACCTGCAGGGAATCGGGAACTGGCATGCCACGAGAGATGAGTTTGAAGGCTTGGATCTGGGCGCGAAGAGCGTTGATCTGGTCTGGTGTGAACGACACGGGGGATTGTGACGGTGCTGGGTACGCCTGGGTCGGTATCGGACCAGAGGTCAGAGGGTTGCCGTTGGGCGCAGGGCTTCCGTTCATTCTGGGGCCCGTCATGACATGTCCATTCGTCTGAGGCATGGAATGGTCCGCGGTAGCCTCTGCGGCCCATTTCCCTAGTGTTTAACGTGAGCTGAACAAACGGGGAAAGGACAGACGACTCACGTTGCTGCGCCATCGCTTTCAAGAAAGTCACCATTTTCGCTAGCTCCGGATTACTCTCCTCCGTAAATCCCGCCTGTTTGAGCACCTTGACACGCTGGAGGGGGGCGAGTGGGTACATGTACATGAAATCTGGGATAAAGTACGCACTTCAATGACTGCGTGTACCTTGGCCTGGCTGAGGGCATTCTGGGCAAAGGGAGTTTGTGGTTTTGATTGAGATGCTGGTGGTTGGAAGAAAGGCTGACTTGGGGCAGCCATGCTTTCGCGAGATCTGGGCGACAACCGAGCCTCGAATAATTCGCCCTAATTTGCCGTCACTGCTCACGCTGAGAGTCGTGGGAAAACAGAGACGCACCGCCCGTGCAACAAAGGGGGCAGGCACGTGACTCGTACACGTCGCAAACTCCGCAACACGTTTAAACTCCGAATCCACGCGTGCTCATTAGACTTCGTCTTGTATCACCACGACGCAATGACAGAACGAGCGGGGGTAAAGTGCCACACTTCGCAGCAGTGTTACAGATGTTGAATCCGAACACAGTACACAGTCACCATGTTCCTCGTCGACGTCTCCCCGTCGATGGGGAAGATGCGCGAGGTCGAGGCGTTGTTGCCAAATGGTGAAACACAGACAGTAGAAATGACCAATCTCGAAGTGGCTCTTCAGTTTGTGAAGCTCAAAGTGCAAGAAATGGTACGCATGTGCGGCAGTTACGGCTTTCATATCCTTACTGTACACTATAGATCTACCACGAACGGAAAACTGACCAGTGTGGTGTTATCGTGTTTGGCTCCCGAAGTGAGTCGACCTATACGTACACGGACAGTCACTTATAAGACATTGTTAGAAACCAACAATCATGTCAACCGCAAGCAAGGCGGCTACGAAAACGTCGACGAGCTCGTGCCCATTTTGCATCCCACCGCCAAAACCATCGCACAGATATCCGAACTCAATCCAGCTGAAGAAATCGGAGACCGTAAGTGGTATATTTAATGCAAGAACAAAAGTACTGATAGCCTGCTCACAGCACTCGATGCTCTCGTAGTCGGCATCGAGACACAAGATCAGTACTTGGGTAACAAGAAGACGTGGACTCGGAAAATAGTTCTGCTCACTGATGGTGAAAATCCGATTGAAATTCAGCACTTAGAGAAGATAGCGCAAAGGCTGAACGACCTGAAGATTAAACTCACTATCGTGTACGTATCCCCTGAGCTCGACCAGTAATCCTCTTGCTGACCAGAACGACAGCGGCGTTGACTTCGACGATGAGGAATTCGGCTACGTGGAAGAGGACAAGTCTGACATCAAAGTAAGCGCGACAGTATTGCAGCTGGGGTTGTCACTGACGTGCTGGCCAGCGTGAGAACGAAGAGTTCTATCACACGCTAGTAGGGACTCTGGACAACGGCGTCGTCGGCAATTGTACGGCTGCAATTGAAGAGATCTCCAGACCGGAGTCCAAGCAAACTAGGTCACAGCCATCAGCCTCTGTCCTTCGTCTGGGTGACGTGGAGAACCATCCCGAAGAAGCCATTGAGATCAACGTGAAGATAAGCAAGTGCACAGCTCTGGTCCGCCCTAAGTCTTTCAAGAAGTTCGCCAGGATCGGCGACGAAGACATTGAAATGCAGAATCCAGGCGACGATAGCGAGCCTACGGTCGAATATGGCCAGCTAACCAGAGAGATCCGCTACGCCTTCGACCCTAGTGGCCGTCGCGATGACGAGGAAGCAGATCGAGACGCCGAGGAAGAGACAGAAAAGAAGGACGACCTGCAAGACGTCGAGAAGGAAGAGCTCATCCGTGGATACAAATATGGGTCGTCTTTCGTGCCTGTTCCCGAGAACAACTTCCCGAAGCTCGAGACGAAGAGAGGTATGGAGATTTGCGGATTCTTCAAGGACGAGTTCTTCCGGCGCGAGTGGTCAATAGGCGAAGTCCGGTATGTGTTCGCAGCCGATAAGTCCCCCTTGCAACAGGTGGCGCTCTCTAGCCTGGTAGAGGCCATGTTCCAGGAAATTAACGGCAAAGAAATCATGTACTACGCGATCACTCGATGGATCACAACCGACGGCTCGGAGCCAAAGATGGGCGTGCTGCAGCCTGTCAAAGACGAATCGGCTAATTACCTGTTGTGGGTTCAGGTGAGAGCATCGCACGTATTGCATTGATATCACATACTGAATGCTCGCTAGATGCCTTTCGCGGATGACTTGCGAAAGTGGTCGTTCCCGTCGTTGGACCAACTGGTCAATGGTAAGGGCCAGCTGGTGATGACGCACCCATATCTCCCCACGGAGGAGCAGCTGGAAACAATGGAGGATCTTGTTGACGCGCTTAATCTCATGGAGGCTGGTGAGAAAGACGAGGATGGGTGAGCGCCCGATGCGATTGTCAGCTAAGCTCGCGCTAATTGCGCGCAGGAACCGAACACCTTGGTATGACACGAGGTTGTCCTACAACCCCGCGATTCACCGCATAAAGCAAGCCCAATTTCACGCTGCTATCGTGGAAGACTTGAACAGGCAGCCTCTGCCTCCGCCGCACCCCGAGCTGCTGAAATATTTTGAGCCCCCTCGCAGAGTCATGAAGCGTGCTCGCCCTGCAATCGACGCAGCGCGCGAGGCTTTCAACGTCAAAGAAGGTTGGTGCAATTTTGAGCTAATCGCCGCCACACTCGATACTTAAATCATATCTTTTTCTCAAGTGCCCAAGACGGTAGCCAGAAACCGCAAGGACGGACACGTTCGTGCGCGCGACGACGGCGACGACACTCTGCTCTTAGACAAGCAGCCAAACAAGAAAATCAAGCTGTCTCAAACGCAGTCTCAACATGTCTCCCGTTCGCAGCACAGGAGAGTATCGCCGGCTACTCAGCGCAAGGTTCCGAAGAGATCAGTGTCAGACGATAGTGAGACCGAGCCAGAGCCCGAACCCAAAGACGAAGACGAGGAAGAACTGCTCCTGGACAAGAAGCCAAAGCAAAGAGGTACATCTGCTGTGCCTGAGCACGACCACATGCCGCCCACACCAGAAAGGTCTGTGTCGCCAGCACCGGAGAGAGACCGAGCTCCTGGTCGGATCATTGGCACGACCGAACCGCTCGAAGACTTTTACAAGAACATCGCAAGTGGCGACTTGGTGACGAAGGCAGTCGAAGATCTCGCCTTTGTAATTCGGACGATCGTCTTCAGGCCCTTCTCAGCGAAGCGCACGGATGAGCTGCTCGAGTGTACGCGCGCGCTGCGCAAGGTGTCACTTGAGGTAAGCCACGCTCGGATATACGCCTCCCTCTAACTCCGGCTTAATGGCTGTGCAGGAGGACGAGATTGATGCGTGGAACGATTTCTTGCGCGACCTCAAACGCCGCTGTCTGGACGATACCCCAGGGAACGATTATTTCTGGACCAGGCTCTCCGATCTCGGACGCGATATGAGTCTCATCGGCCAATCCGAAGCGGAGCGACAAGGTGGCAGGTCCGACGTGTCCGACGCTGAGGCTGACGAGGTGCGTTTCCGCCGCGGGGTTACTCGTCCTCAGTTCACTGACAGGATACCCAGTTCCTGGCAACCGGCATGGCTGATTGACCTGGCGTAGTATAATATCCGATGTACAATCTTGAGCTACTCCTTGAAACGGCCAATTCTCCGTGCCGATTACGCATGTTCCACTGAACGTGTCGCGCTAAACTTCACATAACTCATTCAGCATGCCTCTTACATTCTTAGGAATATTTTGGACACCAACGGTAGAGAACTACGTGAATGAGAGGGATCCCGCGCCTTTGATGGCCAACCTCTTACCACTGAAACAGTATTTGACGAAGCGCCCCGCTTCCATGCTCCAAGCTCCGGTACCGTAGCTCGGTCGTATGATGCGTACTGACTGTGCCCATGCCAGCATGAGGGAGTGTAGTGCATTCGCACATATACCTGAAAATCCCAGCGGAGTTGACGACCGGCTTAGCTCTCACGGACCTGATGTTAAGGCCGTCAACGTGCCGTCTTTTTGCGAAAACATATTCATTCAGCCTTCTGATACGAAATACGATCTCTCCTGTCCTCTGGCTTTGCTCTGCAAGAGTATCTCTAGCGTGGTTTTTCTGCGAACAAGGGTATCTAAAAGCTCGGAATTTGCGCTACACAAGGATGGCTGACTGTAGCGGAGTGAATGCTACCAACGGTACCATGACGTAGCACGCATCCTTTTGCCTGTTGTGATGCCGGCCTTTTTGTGCCAAAGTGCCGCGCCCAGTTCGGGCCGGTTTGTAGCGCGAAGGACAAGTCAGCCTATCACGCTCCAGCGGTCAGTTTACGCCGTTCGCTCCGCTACGTTGCTGCTGCCCTGTGAACCCCGTTGCACCAGATCTTTTCTTTTATCCTTCTTCTCAAGCGGTCTCTGTGGAGACGTCAGGCAATTGATAACAAGATGGGATCCCAAGCCCAATCGATTCGGTCCAACTAGTCACAGCGACTGATCAGCAGTCGCAAATATACAGGATACGCCTAACCAGAAACTAAAGGTCCAAGTCACATTCCAGCAACTCGACAAACTCTATAGGCGGTTCTTCGTGTCCCTCCTAACCTTGAACGGGGAGCCGCCTTTCGGACGACCGGGCTGCTGTTGTCCGGCGTTGCCGCCCTGCGCGTTGTTGCCGCCCTTGTTGGCCTGGCCCTGGGCCCCCTGGTTGCCACCCTTGCCGGCATTCTGGCCCTGGGCACCCTTGCCAGTCGACGCCGCAGACGTCGCGGCGGCAGCGGCAGAGGAAGCAGCAGAGGAAGCAGCAGTAGCTTGACCCGAGGCAGCAGAGGAAGCAGCACCACCACTAGCCGAAGTAGAGCCGGCAGCACCACCAGAGCCGGAGAAGGGGTTCCCTGCTGCACCGTCACCACCAACAGTGAACTGTAGAGAAAGGCTTTAGAAATGGCGGCAATGTCTCAGAAACAAGGACGTACGTAGACCATATCATCCAAGGCACCGTGTTGGGCAATGGAAACGAGAGCCGGCTGGTGGTTCGCAGCGGTGTTGATCGACGCAATACGGTAGGTGCCAGCGTCGAGGCCGCTGGTGACATCCGCTGTGAGCTGACCGTTCGCAGCGGGGTCATTCAAGCCCTTGAAGAAGGCGAACACATTCGGGTTGGTCGGCGACGTGTCCGTGAACGAGTTGACGGCCTCAATGACGATGTGCGAGTGGCCCTGGATGTTGCCAGTGCTGCCGGTCTGCTGGGGAGCAGCGAAGAAGTTCTCATCCGCGTTGACGAAGAAGCCAGTGTCCAGGTTCGAGACAGCCATCTGGACGGTGAACGACTGGTTGACCGCGAAGTTCTGGCCGTTCGTCGGAACAACGAACTTGGACGAGGGCATGTTCGTCGTCGCAGCGATGATACCCATGGGCGCCGGATTACATGAGCCGGTCTTGATCTGCTGACCGTTGGTGATGGGAAGGTTCGGTACAGTCAAGCAGAAGTTAATGAAGTTGTTGGCGGAGGTAAGGGAGGCAACCTGGCCGGCAGCAGGGACATCTTGACCGTTGTTCTCAAAGCCTGTGGCAACGACCTTGGGATCCAGCGCTAAACAATAGCTGTCAGTGAATTGAGCTGTAGGGACGACGCAGTCTCATACTCAGAGAGTCCTGTGGGTTGCTGTTGTTTGCAGTAGCAGACGATGCAGCAGACGCGGCAGACGAGGCGGCAGTGGCGGCAGCGGAAGACGTGGCAGTTGCGGCAGCAGCCGCAGCAGCACCACCAGTGTTCCCCTTGTTGCCGGCAGCACCACCAGCACCCCCGTTGTTACCAGCAACGCCACCCTTGAAGCTCTGTATATCTTATTCAACAACGATACTATACACCTCGGACAGATATACTCACGAGTGGGGTGGCGTGAACCTGCGCCAGAAGAGGGAGAAGGAAGATGAGACTCGAGAGAGAATGTGTGAACTTCATGGCTGCAAGTCGGCGAAGCTAGCGTCGAGCGGTTACGGGGAAAATGACTGGTTCGGGGAAGGGATCCTGAATAAACTGCAGAGTGTTACGCTTAGCCCGTTTGTCCGAGGTCCCTGGCGACCAGCACTCACAATGAAAGACCAGGCAGCTCAGCTGCAAAAAGAACCGAAGAGGGAACGTTGGGTGGGGAGAACGAAACTGGCATTGCAAGGCGAATGAGTGCAGCTTATATACGCATGGGTTGCGAGAGGTCGTCTGTGGGTAGATTGGTGGTTTGTTGGTTGTCTTGACGATATTATGCAATGTCGATGGCTTCGCTGGTTACGGGGATGCCGGCAGGAACGAACTTTTAACTCTGACAGGTAAAAGATCCTGATCATGAGGTCGTATTGTCATTGGTTGCCTGACAGATCGCCAATGGAATCACAGAATACAAATACTCCTCGTTTAGCCACGCATTCTCGCTGTTACGGAGGTGGTCAGCATACATGCATAGGACGCGTGGGCGCAGTTTACAATGAGAAGTCGTAAAGGAATGTTCGGGCATGGCGGAACACAAAGCACATAGAAACTAGATTTGACGCCGAAAGAAAAGGAACGAAGAGCACGCGAAGAGGGGCGTTGGTTGGCAACCATCTATTCGCCAACCAGAAGGCCGGAGTTCCCATCTGCCAAGGTTGACGCTCACCTTTGGCTTTCACAACGCACATGAAGGATGCCAACGTTTCCACCTCCTTGACATGATATTCCTGGAAATGCTTCTGCGCTATTTGGGCTAAGGCCTTATGGACCTCACCCACGTCCGCAAGGATTGGAATCCCGTTCGGCAGTTCATCTTCGTCCAGTAATCTCGAACTCCTGCGCCTATTAGCGCTGGCACTGGGCTCGCGCCGAGGGCGGTTTGCGGGGGTGGGGGGAAGAGGCGCGGGTGCTGGACTTGCTGTGGACGCTCGCTGCCCACGCGGCCGGAGGAGGTAGGAGGGAGGAGGCGGGTCAAGTGCTGTTGTAGGCAGAGGACTGAGTTCGGGTACTATGTCGTACTCAACAAGATATCTGTGAATTGCTTCGATGGACATCTTTGAGAAATCAACCTGATTAAGTGTATGTTGTTAGCACGGATGTTCATATACAGTCGTGCGTTGATGTGTACGCCAGCACCTAGCTTGACCCAGCACGAATACACGACGGAACACTCACGAGCGATGGCCGGTCTCCATCTACACCTCTGTCATTTGGTTTCCTAGCCACCATAGACGCGTTTCCCGAACTCGCGATCGGAACGGCGGGCTCCAGTCTCTTCCTCTTGACCCGCGGCTCGCCGTCCGCCTTGTCGGTGGCGGACCGCTTGGCCCCCGCAGAGGAAGGCAGTGCACCATGGTACGCTGCATCATCCTGTGGATTCGCCTTTCTGCGCGCTTGAGGTCTCGCCCTCGACGTCGCCGCTGGTGGCTGCGAGGTCGCTGCAAGCACGGAAGTGCCTGGAGGTGCCATACTGACGAGGGGAGAAGATATGGGCCAGTCTAAAATTGCGAAAACCAGTTATGTGGTGAGATAACCAATGTTGAACCTGTCGTATATAGCACAAGCGTCGTAGTCGAGTTTCGAGTTGTGGTCGGGTTTCGAGTTGTAGTCGCTGGCTGTAAACGCGACCACTGGCGCTGCTAATTGGGCGTCTATTAAGGCGATCAGCGATCGGAGGGCGCCTTTCTGGTGAGCTACAATATGCAGGCCCGAGTCGATAACGCTTTCTCTTTACCTCCCCCACCCAGACACCGCTCAACACTGCCAGTGCAGGGTTAGCTTGTATTTAAGATCACTGCTCAGCTGAGAACCAGGCAAGGCTGTCCTCGTAAGTGCTCACATTTCCCCCGGTCTCGTCCTCTCACGTTGTCCCAGACCTGTGAACTCGCTAGAACCGTAAGTGGGGTCATCCCAGCCTGCGAAGTCGACATACAAGCTGACATGCCACATAGACAACCGCTTGTAACAAGACCACTAGACTAATCAACTATGTCGACCTTTGGCACTCTCTTTCGGGTGACTACCTACGGCGAATCTCACTGCGCTTCCGTGGGTGCAATCATCGATGGCTGTCCACCGGTGAGTGATAGAAGCTCAAGACATCAATTATTGCTTACGAAGAATATTGTAGGGATTGCCCCTCGACTCTCAGGACGTCCAGACTCAGCTGAGTCGTAGGCGTCCTGGCCAGAGCAACCTGACCACTCCGGTATGTTCTCCGATATAGAGCGGATCAAATCACGTACTGATTTCCGCATATTCAGCGTGATGAAAAGGATTTAGTCCACCTTCAGTCCGGTATCGAGCACGGTATCACCCTCGGCACCCCCATTGGCCTTCTCGTGAAGAACGAGGACCAGCGCCCCAGGGATTACTCGGAGGTAAGCGTGGAGTACAGTGTAATGATCATTTTGACCCACAGAGCTCCGTAGACGGACCTTTACCCCCGCCCGAGCCACGCCGACTGGACTTACCTCGAGAAATACGGTGTCAAAGCCAGCAGCGGTGGTGGTCGCAGCAGTGCTCGCGAAACCATCGGTCGCGTCGCTGCTGGTGCGATTGCCGAGAAATATCTCAAACTCACCCACGGAATCGAGATTGTTGCCTTCGTGTCGTCCGTGGGCAAGGTCAAGCTTCCTTCCACGGTCTCTTCGCCGTCTCAGGCTTCGTCCGAGGATGACGATATTGTCGAGGACTCTCTAAGCCCCGAGTTTGTCAATCTCCTCAAAACCGTCACCCGTGCCCAGGTTGATGCTCACCTCACTCGCTGCCCCCACCCCGAGACCGCCGAGCGCATGACCAAGGTACTGTGTATGCATTAGATTGTCACTCAGTGATATTCATTGTACTCTACAGCGCATCATTCGCGCTAAGGAAGCTCAGGATTCCATTGGTGGAACGGTCACCTGCGTCATCCGCGGCGTTCCTTCCGGCCTTGGCGAACCTGTGTTTGATAAGCTCGAAGCGAAGCTCGGCCATGCCATGCTCTCCATTCCCGCCACCAAGGGCTTTGAGATTGGCTCGGGCTTCCGCGGAACTGAAGTCCCTGGAAGCAAGCACAATGATCCTTTTGTCAGCAAGGCAGATGGTTCCTTGGGTACGAGCACTAACTGGAGCGGCGGTATCCAAGGTGGCATTTCCAACGGCGAGGACATCTATTTCAGGTCAGTGGTATAAGCGTGTGATTGTGATGAGGTTGCTGAAGAGTGCTGCAACAGAGTTGGCTTCAAGTCCCCCGCGACCATTTCCCAGGCGCAGGAGACAGTCCAGTACGACGGTACCTCGGGCACGCTGGCTGCTCGCGGTAGGCACGACCCCTGCGTCGTTCCTCGCGCTGTTCCCATTGTTGAGGCCATGGCCAGTCTTGTTATCATAGACCAGCTCCTCATTCAGAACGCCCGTAAGACAGCTTCTTCGCTTCTGCCTACCATCACGACCCTGCCGCCCACGATGGTGAAGCCTGCTAGCTCTGCTTAGAATGTCAATAGAGACAGATAGCCTCATCTGATGTGTACATGAAGTAGTCGTTTAGCGTTGATTAGCCAGAGTACAACACCAATAGAGCCGATATGAGCTTCGAACTCAGGCGACAGGGGCGCATGTGATGCCGCCTGCCGGATGAAGGCTCCGACTGCTCTCCTTCTCCCACACTTTTTGCCTCCCCTCGCACCGCCTGCGTCTCGTAGACTCAATGTTGTAAACGTTCTGCCTATCTCGGAGGATCCTCGCACGCATTCTTGGATTCTAATCCCACGATCGACTTAGTCCGGGACGACACTATCCTGAGAGCGTTCAATTTTTGAGTTGCAAGCTCCAGTGTGGGGGCTCGGAGCTCTCATATCTGAACGAAGGAGACGACTCATGAAAGCTAGGGGAACCAGCGACGCGAGATGTTGCACACATCCGACTCTTACGACCACCGCAGTGTGAGCGATGCTAGGAGCAAACCGTGGATGCCAGGTGCGTTTAGAGTCGTGCTCTCCACAACGTGTCATTAATTATAGCATGCATACCATTATCGCCATCCGCTGTATCGCGTGCAGGCAAAAATGATCCCGCGGGCCAGCAGAATGGTGGACGGGGCGTGTGTGCGGTGGCCGCACACGACCATGGCGGGCCTCTGGTTGCGTCCTACAACGACCCGGGCCTATCTCTTGCCACGGACGACATGCGCACACGCATGACACTCGCCCTCGAAGACGAGCTCCACGACGACCCCGCCATGGCCGCTCTCTTCGAGCCGAAGCGCTCTCTCACCGGAGGCGCCACCTTGAAGCCGTGCATCGTCCCGGGCAATGCGCTCCAGCTGATCGACGACGATCCCACTGCCTCACGCTCGCACACGCCGTCGTCCGTCATCGTCCTCGAGAGCGACCCGCAGCTGGATCCCGCCGCGCCGCACGACGCCAGCGCAGACAGCTCCGCCGACCTCGAGGCGCCGCAGCGCCGCCCTGTCCCGCGCGTCCGCTTTCGTTCACGAGTACGCATCACGTCTGGGTTGCGCCGGAGCAAGCACATCGAAGGTGACGCTGCGAGCCCCGCGAGCTCGGCGAGCGACTCGCCCTCGTCGTCCATCTCGGCGCCGCTGCGATGGCAGGCGGACGAGAACACCGCGTGGGGCCCTCTCGGCCGCAGATTGAGCGCATATGCACAGCAGAACGGGTGGCAGAAACGCGCGCCGAGCGCTGGCCCCCGACATGGGGACGTGCGCGCCCCGGTGCCCCACCGCCAGCCCCAACCGCGGGCGAAGATGGACGAGCGCACGCCGTTGGTTAGGACTGGGCGGCATGTTGCGTATGTGGATGCGGGGCTGGATGGTGGGAGAGATGCAGACGACGAGAGGCTACCTGAAGGCGAGTACGAGGATAGCGACGATGAGAGTGAGCGGGATCATACGTTGCGGAAGGCTGCGCTAAGGCGAGAAGAAGAAGCTATTTTTGGTCCATGGCCATGGAGACTGTTCAACAGACATGTGAGTCGCCCGCACTTGATAGATTTCAATGATGTTCACGATTGCATCCAACAGTGGTGGTGGTGGCATACCGAGCCCGTTCTACGTTGCTTATGCGCTGATGATCCAGAATACGAATAGTGATTGCAACGCTCATCAGACGATATCCACGTTATTTCATACATACTTCGCGTTTATTCTTATTCCCATGTATTGCGCTATGTCCATGTATACGTATCAGTTAAGAATCCACCTAGTTCACTTTGTCGTCGCCTTAAACACCAAGCCTATTCGTACTAAATAGTAAGTACAGCTGAGCACGCCTACAACCAGCGTGTTTGCGCCTGCAGTCCTTGATCAGTCCTAAAAATATATGTGCCATGCATGAGAGCCCAAGACCATGTCCTTCCGATCCTATTGGTCGTCTCGAAACCCGCGTGCAAGGACCGCGACAACAACGAATTCTGCCGTTAGAAAGTCCGCTCATCCGCTCGCCCATGTGGTATCGTTCCGTGTAAAGGTTGCCTTAGAAGTTCGGGACGGTGAGTGCAACTTTCGAAATGTTCCGCGAAGTCAGACCGCAAATACCGACCGTTCCGGATTCGCGTCATACAACCCGATAGTAATTATCCTAAATACTCATCATAGCCTGACATTCTTCCACCTGTTATGCGCTCTCTAGACTCCCGCTCGAAATGTTACGTCCACACTACAGTAGCTTGCTAATCAAGAGCGCAGTGCGAATACCCCAGACAGCCTGAAAAGTTAATGATAAAGTTAGATTCCGTCGCATACAGGAAATCAAAAACGACTGCCTTACGAAATAGCTAGGTTTGTGACGAGATCTCGACATAAGCTGCGGACAATCTGCGAAAGTGCTACTCGGATGTGACTGAATTAGTTGCTTTTCAAACGTCTTTCCGGATGCCAAACAAAGCGGCTGACTCTAGACGCGTGAAATGGTAATATTTGTCATGTCTAAATTTAATCCTCCTTGTCTTTACTGTTCTTGAAAGCTTGACCCTACACCAAATGTGATATTCGGGTATCACCTGAAGCCTACATTCACAGCCCACTAGGCTTGACCGATCCTACCTTTACCTTCAACCACCGCGACGAACTCTTCAATCTTCTCCTTCTCCGAAGCCCAGGCAGGCCTTGGGATCCTGTACAGCGGACCGCAGCTAGCATAGCTGATGTCGCCCATGCGCGCGATAGGCTTGTACTTTGTGGGATCGACGAGCTTGACGACCTCGCCAGGATTGGCCTCTGAGTGGCGATCGAGCAACACATCGTTCCGGACGTGAATCTTCTTCACGAGACCAAGTACGAAGGTGTTCGTCTTGGCGCCAGTGTCGGGATGGACGATGTCTATTGCTTGATAGAGCTCGCACTCCATGCTGAAAGCGCTCTCTTTCACGCGTGGCGCCTTGACATGAACCTGAGGATCTTTGTAAGATATGGCAGCCGAATCTGACAACATATGCTTACACTTGGCGCCTTTGTCAGTCCACTCAGCTCCCACTCGCTAACTTCGGGAGGGGTGTCGATGCAGGTGACATTCGCCTGTTCAATGAAGGGCTCGCTGATGATGTTGACAACAAAGTTCTTTGTGGCTCTGATGTTCGCCGCGGTGTCTTTGAGCTTGCTGCCGGGGTTGGTGATGGAAATCGACACAAGTGGTGGGTAGTGTGATACCTGACATTACCACAACGTCAAGGAAGTACATGGAGGGATGAAACTGCTGCGCGCACCATATTAAACCAACTGAAGGGTGCCAGGTTCTCCACACCCGACTCCGAAATAGACGACACAAACGCGACCGGCCGCGGGACGATACCACTGATCATCAGGCGGTACTAAGCTGAGAATTAGATGTGGACTGCGAGACATCACGCAAGTGGCTCACAAGCTTTCTGCGATGCGGCCTGAGTATGTGCGTAACGGCGTTATGACACGTGTGTACTCACCCTGAGTCCTCTGTAGCGGTATCCACAACGGTCCAGCCTTCCTTTTCCCCCTCGACCCAAGCTTTGCCGAGCGGCGTTGAGTCTACAGGTGCGCCATAGGTGAACTGGGGGTTAGGCTTCTCGTAATACTGGCTTGTGTGCTCAGCGGGGTATGGTGGGGGTGACATCGTAGTTCAGAGCAGCTGTCCGGCGGCGAAGGGAACTAGGCAATAGGGAGGTGGCGATGAATGCCGGGCTGAGAGCGAGGCCTTGAAGTACTTATAACGCTTACAGACTCTCAGTCATCTCTAGATCTACGCCGGATTTCCAAGCGCCCAAGCTCAAGGCCGGTCCTGTCTTCCCAGTCCTATCAATGCGGGCCCAATACGTCCCGTGCATTCACAAGACCCCTCCACCATGTGCAGGAGCCGTGGCAGTGGTGGATTTCGCCCATGCAATAGCATCCTAGGCTCAAGTTGAGCACAGTAAGTCTACTTACGTAATAACCTCTCGCAAGGACCAATCAGATCCTGGGACAATAGGCAGGTTTGTGATAAGGTTACCGTAAGCAACTTCGTAGGTATCCTTCATGGCGCCCTGTCGCGGCGGAAGCGGTAGCTCTGAACATGACAACTACGCAATCCTGCTTATCTCTAGCTCACATAACGCGCCCTCAATCTTCTTCTCCCTCTATGAAGCCCACACAAGTCTCGGAACTCTGTACAGTGGCCCGTAGCTCATGCAGGTGACATCCCCCATGTGCGCAGCAGGCCTACACTGGATAACCTTCACGACCTCGCCGGAGTGGTACTCGGAATAGTGATCGGGAAGGACTTCGTTCTGGACGTGGATCTTCTTGACGAGACCAAGTGTTGGTCTTTCACCAGTGGCGGAATGAGTAATATCCATCGCCTCCCCCCAACACATGGCGCCTTGACTGAGGACCTTTGTAAGACATGGCAGCCGGGTTCTTAGGCTCGTCCCCACCGCTTCTGAAAGGGATGGAAGCGTACGTGATCGCCCGCGGCCTCACGGCAGCTCTGCAAGTGGCTGGTAAAACGAGTCTACCGGGTTCTGATAATATATGCTTACACCCTGTGCCTTATTAGCCTACTCAGCTCCCACTCCCTAACCTCGGACAGGCAGATTTGCGATACAAGTGGCGTTCGCCGACGGAAGGCTCGCTAATCATGTTGACAACGAAGCATATCGTAACTTTGATGTTCGCGCAAGTGTCTTTGAGCTTGCCGACACCGAGATTGGTGAGCGAGACAGACACGAGCGGTGGGTAGTGAGATACCTAGCATGTAGTGTCAGAAAAGCACGCGTACAAGCGGGACCGTGCGAACCAGCTGAACGACGTTGGGTCCTCCGCGCCTAACTCTGGGATCGAGGATACAGGCGCGACTGGTCAAGGGACGGTGTCGTTCATCATCAGGCGGCACTGTATGGGAAATTAGATATAAATCGCGAGCTATCATACAAGCAGCTCACAAGCTTTCTATATGGCGGTCTGTAAGATATGCGTAGTGGAATTGCAATACACATCTGCCCACTTACGAAGTCCGACGCGACTTGGCTTGAGGCGATATCTTATCACAGATTTGCCTCTCTAGTACAAAGATCTACTTAGCGGGGCATCACTTAAACGCGCAATACGGAATCGGCGTTGAAGGCATCATACTCAAGTTCGTCATACTCAACTGTATTCCTCTGCTTGCTGGCAGCTTCTCAAGCTCTGCACATGAATAATCTTACTGTCTACTGCTCTTGCGCAAAGCGGTAAAGTTCCGCAGGATGTGCGGGCAGCGCTCCGGTGACAGGCCTCAAGGACGTTAGGAAGACACCATCGGGCCTCGAGAGCCATGGCGTGAGCATTATCAGGATGGTATGTAAGCATACGTAGACTCCCGCATTCGTGGATTTATACTCATCAGCTCCCCTCTCGGCCGTAAGGCCACTGTCCTGGCTCACGATGTCCTCCCTCCCCCCCTACCCTGTTGAACACGCGAGTCGGTATTACGAGAGACGTAACCCTCAATTTACCTATGGCACACCGGTAGATGCAACTCCCGCGGGCAAGACCTGGGTTGAAGGGGAGAAAGGGGGTTGGACCGTGGTAGATACCGCTACCGAAGACCCAAGGTGGGTGTGGTGGCGTGAATGCCTCCGCGGCCGATAGACATACTCACGAGGCCTGCCGCAGTAAACTTGTAAGCCTCACAGCGTTCCGCGAGCAGCGCATATAAACATTTTGCATTCAGTACCGCCTGATGATCAGCGGAATTGTCCCTCGGCCTATCGCGTTTGTCTCTACGGTCTCAGATTCGGGCGTAGAGAATCTAGCGCCTTTCAGCTGGTTCAACATGGTGCGACCATCTTTAGTCAATTAAATCAAGTCCCTCACTCGCTACGGTTTTAGGTTTCTCACTATCCGCCTCTGGTATCTTTTTCTATCCGGGACGATGGCCCAAGAGTCAAGGATACCGAAGCAAATATCAAAACCATGAAGGGCTTTGTTGTTAACATTATGAGTACGCCGTCCGCCGAACAGGCCGACATAACCTGCATCGACACTCCTCCCGAAGTGAGCGAGTGGCAGCTGAGTGGGTTGACGAGGGCACCGAGTGTAAGCCTATCCAATTCGTCTCAACATTGCTTCTCGCTCAATGATTCGCAGATTCACGTCAAAGCGCCGCGCATAAAGGAGAGCGCGTTCAGCATGGAATGCGAGCTCTACCAGATGACTGCCATCGTCCACCCCGACACGGGCGTACAGTCTGCTACCCTTGTGCTTGGCCTCGTGAAGAAGATTCATGTTCGAAACGACGTCCTCCTCGATCGTCACTCTGAAACGAATCCGGGCCAGGTCGTGAAGCTTGTCGACCCGATAAAGCTCAATCCCGTCGCTCGCATGGGGGATATCACATACACGAGCTGCGGGCCGCTGTATAGGATTCCGAGGCCCGTGTGGGCTTCGGAGAAGGAGAAGGCCGAAGGGCTCATCGCCGCGGGTGACGGCAAGGCTCAGACAGCCATTTCTAGTGAGGCGTAATGGTGTGTCATGGATAAGACACATGTATCAATTGTTATGTGAATCAGAAGTAGATGGAATATGCTCAAGTCTTGTCCAGAACTACTGCCATATTCACGGCTGTGCACCCTTAAAGATGCTTGCAGACGATGATCCGGTGCTTAATATAATTATGAGCCGACTATCGTAGGCAGGATGCTTTCGGCGAGGATTCCGCCTATGGACAGATATTTTTGCGCATTTAACGGGATGCTCGATGCTTTTACATGCTTTGAGTTAAATCATCACGAAGTTGAGCATGGTTTTACAGCTAGAATTGCGCATACATGACTAGATTTCTAAATGCTAGCGAGTTACATGCTGCATCAAACCCAACAACAGACATAGTCGCACACACAGTAACAGGCACAGCAGCAGATGCAGTTGCAAGCACAGTACCGGTGGCGCATACGGGCTTGGTGGCTGTCTGAGAGTCTGGTACTCGCGATTCCGCGCGATGTGAGGTCTTCGGGGTCCACAGAAGGTATTTGTAAGATAAGATTAGGATCTTGTAAATGATCAACGAATTTCTCAAGCGCACATCCGAGCTCAAGCAGCTCTCCCACCTCCCCGCCTTCACTTTCCTTCTATATACTACATTCTCTCACTAAAATGATGAGCTCAGAGCTCCCTCAGTCTTTGCTCAACTCAAGACGTCATGTTGGTGTCCATGCCGAGCGCGTCTCGGACGTCTGGAGCACAGAATACCCTGGTCATTACCCAGATGAAGACCACAGTTGGGACATGGAGAAGTTCAAGGAAGTGCGTTATAAGCTGCATGTTCCCTGCGTATGTGCAAGCTAACGACGGACGGACTTCGTCTCCTCATTTCCGGGTGGCTACCTTTAGAACCTGCAAGTGAAGGTGCAGAGACTTTCACAACGAAGTATCGAGTTCGACCTCGTAGGCGTCGATGCTTCCATTGCCAACGCGTTCCGGAGGATCATAATTGCGGAGGTGCGCCTCGACCATACTGTCTTTTGGTGTGTTGCTGAGCATACGGCATGTCCTTCTCCACACTTGCACTGCATTGGCGTTAGGTCCCAACAATAGCCATAGAACATGTCTATGTCTGGAATAACACCTCTGTCATACACGATGAAGTTCTGGCACATCGTATCGGTCTTGTGCCGCTCTCTGCCGACCCTTCCACGTTGGACTTCCGAACACCAACCGGATTCGGCGCAACACCAAACGACCGCAACACGCTTGTCTTTCGTCTACAGGCCACTTGCGAACGCGCGCCGAAAGGCTCCGGCAAGGAGTACATCAACGATGAGGTCAAGAGCGGTGACCTCGTTTGGGTCCCACAGGGGGAGCAGGAAGAAGTCTTCGCGAACAATCCGCCGGGGCCGACGAACAAGGATATCGTCCTCGCGAAGCTCCGGCCAGGGCAAGAAATCGACATGGAGCTGCATGCGATCAAGGGTGTCGGGAAGGAGCACGCCAAATGGAGCCCGGTCGCGACGGCCTCGTATCGGCTACACCCGCTCATCCTGCTCAACCCACAGAAGCCAGTGCCCACGCACCTCGCGAAAAAGTTCGCGGGCTGCTTTAGCCCCGGCGTCGTCCAGGTCGACGCGGATGGCGAGATATCGATCGACTTGCACGGTATGCGCAAGGACAGCGTCTCGCGCGAGGTCCTCCGCCACGAGGAGTTCCAGGGCTGTGTCGAGCTCAAGCGTGTACGCGACTGGTTTATCTTCAACGTCGAGAGTGAGGGCCCGTACGCCCCCGAGCGGTTACTGCCCGAGGCTGTCAAGGTCATGCGCGAGAAGGTTGCATCAATTCGTGCTGCGGCACAGGCTCTCCTCGCGGACGCGGACGGCGACATCCCAGGAGAGCCAAAGGGCAAGGGCGTAGATGTCGATGTAGAGATGGGCGACTCATAACGTACATAGTAATATAGATTATTGCGCTCTGGTGTACTTGCATGGTATATTCCCGTAACAAACCTGTTCACGCTCAAATTGAGTACGCAAGCGACTTCATTCTGCACCTTCCTTGACGAGGTGGGGTCGTCGCCCATTCCATGTCATCGGAGGCCAATGAAAGGCCCAAGAGAGCGGATAGCACAAGGATACACCAACACCAGCTTACAGATACAACCCATCCGAAGGTACTACAAATAGGATAGTATACTGGTGCAGTGGCGTAACTCACGTTCCCCTCTTCTTCCCTCCACGTCCTCTCTTGGTTTCTCGGTCCACGGTCCGCGACCGTTTTACGCGATTTGTGAATGTCCCCGCCTCAGGCTCCTCGTTTATGCTGCGTTTGCGCCGCAGGCCGCGACTGAACGACGCTGCGGATGTGCGCGACAGTCCGTTGGACGTGTTCTGGCTGGGTGCGCGGCCCTCTCTGCCGGTGGAGGTTAATGGCTGAGGGCCTGTGGGAAGCGATGGCGGAGGCGTAGAGGCGACTCGTGCCAGGACCTTGCCGCGTGCACGTGTGAGTGGACCGCCAGTTGTTCCCGTTGGCAGAGGCAAGTTCCGCGTTGGTCGGGGCTTAGGGGGGGACACGCTCTGGTGTGGGGAGAGGGTCGACACCACCGCTCTCGTTCTCGACATAGGGATACTATTGTGTTCTGATGCCTCTCTTTTGTGGAAGCGTTCACTGACCGCCTGGCATACTGCTCCTCTCTGACGCGTTCCGGGCCCAACGGCCAGTCAGAACGGGCCAATGCTTCATCAAACCTTTCGATGACCTTCTCCGCACCGCATCGTACATGTGCAGCCTGGTATTTCTCCGTCTCCGTGGTGAATTCCGAGCTGTACAGGCTCCCGAGGTCGTCCGCCAGCTGAACCACAAGCGTGTTCAGTGGAGCTGAATGGAACTGAAGGTTGAGGCTTGGATGCTTTGCTTCGCATTAGGAACATGGCCGAACAAGTAGAATGAGAGACGTCCAAACTCATGCTTGAACCACTGCAATGCGATGAACAGGAGGACCCAAAAGATAGACTCCACATCATCAAGCACAGTGTGAGGCGCCTGGGGTTCGTCAAGTACACGAATGGACATGAACTGCCATGTTCCCTGAGCCAGGTGTTAGCATCGAACATATCGAAGAGTAGTAAGCCCAGAATACCGTTCGGAATGGAGGCCGATTGGTACTTGAGTGCTCGTTGGTCGTATCCGGAAGTATCCTACGACTGATCCCAATCGTTCAGAACGCCTCGACCATCTTCCGTTCCCATGACATTCCCCACACTGACGTCACGATGAAGTATTCCGGTGGCCCTCGCATCTCGAATCGCTTTGAGGATGTTAATATGAGGCCTGTGGTGACAGAACGTGCAAAGACGCACCAACAAGGACATCGCGAAGCACTTGAACAAGCTCCCTCGTACCCCACACTGTCCACAATGGGTAGGCTAAAGTTTGGACAATGTGGTTATGGACGTGGGGCTGAAGTTTGTTGTGGGGTTTGTGGTCCTTTGCTTTATGCTTTATTGTTGAGTACTGGTGGCCGCTCGGAGGGATGCTGGGATAGCGTGCACTCTAACTGTACATAAAAACACTGAATATGTAAGATATTACATTACAGACACATGAACACCCTGTCGAGAGAATGCAGACATGCGCAGATCACAGACTACCAAAGATAATAAGCAAGAGTCGCAAATCCGCGGGAAGCACGCAGTCCCCGGCACAGCAGACTTGAGTGACACGAAAGTACACTAATACAGGTCATCGTCATCAATGACGAGCTCGGGCTTGACCTTCTTCCTCGGCGGTGCCTTTTGCTGCACAATGCCCTTGACAACCATCTTCAAGTCCCAATCCCATTCTTGGGACACCGACTCAGGTAGACTCGCCGAAAGTTCTTCCAGCCGAACGATACCTTGTCGTAACTCCTCGTAGTTCTGCTCAGCATGCAGCTTGGACTTCGTGTCTAAACGTTTCTTGAGCTCCGCTACGTCCTTAGTCAGGCGGCTAGCCCACGACAGCGTCAGCAAGTCCTAATAAGCTTCGACCGAATCACAGCGCACATAGCATTGTCTACCTCGACCTTTACCTTCTCATACACCTCTTGCGGGGCGATTCGAAGACGCATATGAGCGTTCTTTTTGGAGTTAATGGCGTAGGCGTTCAGCTTCTCCAGGCATACCAGCGCATGCGGGAACGGACCAAGGAAAAGCAGCCGGTAGGGCCTGTCAAAGTCTTGCGAAAGCTCCTGGCATGAAATGAACCAACGGAGCCTGGCGGCTGGCAAGCCCTTCTTGGGGACGCCGTGTCTGCGAGAGAGCAGTCGCCGGTACATCAATGCAATGCGCTTGGCGGCTGCGATCTCTTCTACCGAGGGCGGCGCAACGGTCTGTTCGACTCGCGCAGCATCAACCGTGCGAGCAGCAGCGTCCAGGTCAACGCTGTGGTCGATACCCGCATCTTCCTCTTGCGCCGAAGGGTCGTCCACAGGCTCGTCATCATCATCATCCTCCTCCTCATCCTCCTCAACACCGACGTCGGCTTTGAGGAATCGCGCAGGAATGAACGGGGCAGCTTCCGCGCGCAGAGTTGACTTCGCTTGTGGAGCAGTCTCGACCTTGGCACCATTGACTAGCGGAACGATATCTTCTGGCTTGGTGTAAACCACGGGGCGGATACCCCGGATAGGGTGCGTAGGACCGGTGACCTTGCTTGAGTCCTTGAGCTGGACAAGGTGATCGAAGTCTGATGCCTCTGTCTCAGCAGTGCTCCTCAGAGCTCTAACGAGATCATCCCACGTTGAAGCCTTGATGTACCTATACCAAGGAATAAGACGCACTGCTATGCCTCAGGTGGCAATCGACTTACTTGACAATCAAGCGCGAATAGAGCCTCGAAGGCTGCCTGATGGAGGTGATCGTCCGGTGGATGTCATTCCTAAGCTGCCAACCTGGTATGTTGTAGCCGACTGATGCGTTTTAGTTTTCCATCATTCATCGCTTGATAGCGCTGCTACTACTCACGAAGACAAATGTTGTAGCAGCTAGAAAACGCGATGACATTAGCAAGACGGAAGGAGCCAGAAGAAGAGGACTCACATTCGCGCCACAAAGATGTTTCGGATCTGCATCTCGATCTTGGTAGTGTTCCGCTCGTAAACCAGGAAGTCTACAAGAATGAGTAAGAGTCTGTAAATAAAAATGTGCACAGAACTCGCTCACTAGTACCACTAGATCCATAGTGTGCCTCTCTCATTAAGTCCCTCAAGGGCCGTAGAAGTAAGAGAAGTAGGCCAGTATCCTTCGGTTCCAACGAGCCGCTACCGCATAGGGACACAATCCAGCGACGGCTGAGTGTCGTATCATGCAAAGATCCATTTTTATGCAGCCGGTGATGCAAGATAAAGGATGCGCAGATATAGTCGAACAGCTGGCAGAAGACGTTGATGTTCATGGCCACACCGTCCTCGATCACAGTGCTGTTGAGATGTTCAGACGAGACGTTGACATAAAACGTAAACTGCACCTACTGCAAGAATAGTACACCAGCCGCTACGGAAGATGGCTCTGAAGCGCTCAGAGCAAGGAACAAATCGTGAAGGATATATCGTTCACCCCCCTTGCCTCGCACCAATTCCCGGAGTCTCTGTCCAGGCTCCACGAAAAACCTGGCACGGGCGATGTAGTCTCGCGCTCCGGTCCTGTCGAACACAAATGCTAGTGTCATCAGCTCGGCGGCATCTGTAAGGAAGTGTCGTCGATCAGACGTCCAAGGTGTAAGATTGTACAGCAAGTCGCGAATCCAGTCCTTGATGACTTGGATTGCCCTTTCGGCTTCGGGTATAGAGGCCATGTTCAAACTTGTGGCGACGCCAAGCTTCGGATGAGAGGGATGCAGGGTATGATACAGAGAGGAGAGCCAAAAACTAATAGCATGCTCAGCGTAGATTGATGGACTCAGTGACCAAGACCAATGCGTACCGCTGCTGACCGGCAGCAATGCTGCGATTTTCCAACGCGACAACAGTCTGACAAATGAGAATTTGCTGGAAAATAAGTCGGACTCGGAGGCGATATCCTTCTACGTCTAGAGCAGCATTCACTTGATGGCTTCGGGAGCAGTCATTTGAGTGGCACGTCCCAAGTAGTGCGAAAGTCGGACACAGGAAAATAGCACCTGCTTTGCTACAGAGAATATTTTCTTCGCTGACTCTACGCCTTAGTCGTGGGTGGAGAGCTGAGCGAAGCAAGCTTGTCAAATCCCAGTCGTTGAATATGAAGGCCTGGGTCTCGTCCGCTGACGCCGCATCTCCAAGGTGGCGGTAGTGGTATGTATGCAGGAAGGTGCTACTTGAGAGAACGTAGGTATTTTCCGCACCGTCCGCGTTCCGGAAGCCAAATAGCTTCCCTAGCATTCTATCCTGACCGGGGTTAGGTTCAAGCCCGATCCGCTGCATTTCGCGACAATATGTTAGAAAGGCTCGCAGCGTCGACGCCGCCTCGGGGGCACTGGCCGACACAATCTTTACCGGCTTGTTGAACACATGATCTAGACAAAGCAGAGCAGATGCGCTATCTCCATGAGCGGATAATAGCTGTTCCCCGAGCTCCTGAAGCTGCGAGGTTTGACCTTGTGCGATGCATTCGAACATTGCGAACTAGATCAGCGGTAGTAAGTAGTGGGATGGATACACGAGGCCAGGCTGAACATTAACAGAACGTACCTGATCTAGTGTATGCTTCGACATGCTCGCTCCCGCCTTCGCCTTAATATCTCTTGCAGCCTGCAAAAGTCGACCCAAATCGGACTTCTCGTACCCATCCTTGGCAGTCATGCCGAACGAAAGATATTCCCACAGCCCATGCAGCACGCATTCCTCCGCCCGCTGGCGCGAGTGATTACTTGCCCAGTCCCGCATAAATAATCGAATGGCTTGAAGCGGGCGACCTTCTTCAAGATGAAGTTCTGCTGCCTCTGCGAATCTGCTTGAGTGCTCCAGAAGAGTTGCCCGAGCGACGTCGAATCCATAGTCCTCCATGAACTCCAAAGCGTCGTCGAGTGTTGGGAAGAGACTCGTTGCACGACTAGATTTGCCTGTTAGAATATTCTATATAAAGGCTACGAAGACAGAAACATACTCAAGTCGATTCTCCTTGACATAGTGGAGCTTGGCTACGTCGATGATTGTAGTGGCGAATGTTTCTGGGATGCGACGACCATGGCGCTGGACTATGTCAACAGCTTCATCAAAAAGCCCGGCTTTGCGATAATGCTGTGCTGCCTTCGTATATTCTTCGGCTTGCAGATATGCTTCTGCTGCTCTGCAATGATCATCGGCTTCGACGAAACACTCGGCGGCGTTGCGATGATAGGCAAAGGTCTCTCTGGCAACAGAAGCAATGGAAGCAGATTTGAGAAACGCCTCCGCAGCGACGATGAAGGCAAGTGTTCGAGCGTTGTCCGTTGTACGTCTCGTCTTCACTGTGCCTCGAGCTCGTTCACGTAGATGATACGCATATGCAACCTCCTTTTGCCGAGGCATGCCAGCCCGCTCATAGCACCTGACGGCTTGCAGGTATCGCCGGTTATCAAAGAGCGTCCTTGCGGTGGCGGCCCACTCTTCGGGTGTAGAAGTCATCGCCAGACGAGGAACTTCGTCTGCAGCACTGCAATTCTTCATGAGACTGTGGGCGTTCCAGAACGTCTGAAGTACGATCAGTGCACTCGGGTACGCCAATCAGCCAATGGTGCACTCACTCGCAGCGGCTCTCCCTTCTCTGAACAATCGGCGATCCATAAATTCTTGTGGGCACGGGTAATAGCGACATACAAGAACTTGAGCTGCAGTAGGCGAAGCCATTAGTATCGATTTTGGATCTTTCTCTGGATGTTTCTCGTACCTCTCGGCAGACTCCGCTATGCCGGGCGTCGTCGAACTGAGGGCACTTCATACGCTTCTTGAGGTTGTCGTCCAATGCATTCAAGACAACCCTCCACTGGGAGAGCTCCACCGTGGAGTCTTCGAAGAAGTTGTATAATAAAACCTGTTCGAAAATTTATTACTACAGTTCACTTTCTGATTTAATAAACATACGTCGTTAAACTCGAGACCCTTACTTTCGTACAGGGTTCTAGAGTCATGTGTATGGCACGTTAGTCGGTGATAGACAAGCATGGCAGCTCGAAGGATGAATGCGAACGTACAAGATCAAACCGATATCGCCCATTTGAGCTTGCAGCTTGCTACGAGCCTCGTCATCTCGAACAAGAATGCCTAACACGCTTTCAGATCAGAGCTTCGATAAAGACGGGATGCAACCTACATTGCTGCGCGCCGAATTCAATCTGACTTCCACTGGCGCCGAGATCAGCGAGAATACACTTTCACACCCGCTAATTGAAACTCACGACGCGCCGAATAGGAACTGCTCATACTGCACAGTATCCTGATCCCACCCACTGAAGAAGATAGGCTTCAAGCCATCGACGACTCCCTTCTCCTCAGCCAGAGTGTCGATTGCATGTGGCCAGAACCGCGTGATGAGTTGCACGACGGAATGAGCGCATCGGACGATGCCTCCGTGCGAACGGTAGTTTACAGTGAGCTGAAAAGATTCTGGAGACTTAGCAAGATAGCCCTTCGGGGAGGAAGCGAGCTGCACTAGTTTTAGCTTAGTAATCCCAATATGTCAAGGAAAATCAAACCTCTAGGCGATAAAGGAAAGCCTTTAAGTCGTCGAACCTGAACGAACTTCCCACTGAGATTGTCTGGGCAGTGTCTCCGGCCCAGAACAGACCAAGAGGATTGCTGCATAAAGTTCGCAGAACTGGAGGTGACATTCGTTAGTGACTTAGCTGTTCCATAGGTAGCAAGGCACGTACCAAGCGCGTCAACGAGGAGATTATCCTGGGCTTCGTCCACATAGCTGGAAAAAGTAGCGTAAGATGAATCGCTTGGCGCGACCGCACAGCAGCGCACACACATGAAATCCAATTTCTTTCCCGGGACGCCAATCTGGTCCAGTCCGCGGAGGATGGCATGCGTTCTGCAACAGACTTTCAGAAGATGCACCTTAGAATAGACTGGGGTAAAATCAGACCTATCGGCAGCGTCCCAGTCCCTGCGTTGGCGCTTCAGCCGCAGATACGCTGAGAATAGTTCATATACCGCTTCCCTGCGGCCGGCGAACGTCCCTTGCTGACGGTGGCTGAGTGAGATATACGTCCCTTCGTCTAGATGACCTTCTGCGGTTTGAAGTGCGCTTTCCGACCCCTTGATGACACCTGTTGACGCGTAGTTGATGTGTATGTTTTAGATACAAAGAAAAGGCAACAATACCCATAATCTCCGCGAAAATGAGAGCAGGATCTGGACGACGCTATTCAGTATGCACAGTTTCTATTGAAGACGGAAGGGTACTAACCGAGATTCTTGGTGAGATTCTGAGGAAGATGAGACCAATAGGCTTGCAGAAAAGTGCCGTAGGACACGAATGAGTCCCGACGCTGTAGCATATAATCGCTCGCGACAGCAGAGGGATCTACAGTGCTGTCATCATCAGCCACAGAAAACGCAAATTCGCCCTTGTTGTAGGTGCAAAGATCTCCTTCTAAGAGCCGGCACAGCTATTTGTGGTCCATCAGCAGACGTACACCGCTGAACGGCGGAGGATTTCATACATGATCAAATGTGACGAACAACGGAAAATGTTCATCTTGTAGCTCACTGAACTTCTTCGGCAGCGAGCCACGCCAGAACTCTTCCTCGTCCTGGTCAACAAGTGCCCGATCCTCCGTATTTTGCTTCTGTGCTCCCATCTGCGCAGATTCTTGTGCACTTCTTGTCGCCGCTGCGTGCGACTCTGCCAGCTTTCGGTAATATTCCTCGACCTTCTCTGCGAGAACGCGAGACTGAGTGACAAAGACTTGTCGCGGTCGGGAGAAGCTGTCGCTCGAATCCTCGCGGATAGCATCCCAAGCGCGCTCTATTCCGAGCATCTTGAACAGCATAGTGGTCGTTTTACTGTATTTGTATGAGTAACATGTGCAAGTTCAGAAGTTGGATACACCCACCCCGTACCACTGCGGCCCAGAACGTAGCAAGATCCGCTGTGCTTGACTATTGCCTGCTCCGACGGGCTAGTCATACATTAGTCCAAATTCAACTTCAACGCTCCATGCGTAACGTACGACATGTGGAACACATGCTGAACGTCTTGATCGGCAAGGATACCTATGCACAGAGCGTCAGATCCGCGTGATTCGGGAGCATGCACAAGGACATACTATTCAAAAGTGCCTACGGGTAACACAAACGTCAGTGTCAGCGTGTTGGCCACTAGGCAATAACGCACCTGAGAGAAAGTAACGAACTTCTGAAGGCTATAGATGGTTTAGATGGCGCATTACCGGTATGAGAAAGGAAAGAATCTTACACCAAGATCGAGTGCAGCTGGAAACATATTAGCCGAGGTCATTCATCGAGAGAAGAGCTGGCATACCTCTTCACGGTCTTCATCTCGTAAACCAGCAATTTGTACAGGTCCCTCTGGAACATCGGGCCCCTGAGCTGGTGGGAAGCTTTCAGGGGAGAACACCTTGTCTCCGGGGTTCTTAGGAGGTTTACGATAGATACATCTAGAGAAGTCTGTCAATGCTGCGGCAGCAGATCAATGAGCAGAACGAACCGCTTCCGATATTCTTTCCCCTTCCCCGCAAGATGCTGACCGACAGCATCCCAGAACCGTCGCTCGAGCTGAGCGTGCGTGTAGATACCGAAGATCCGAAGAACTGACATGTGCAGCGGTCAGTATAAGACGCATATATGTGCGAAGAGATCCATACCTTGACGATCGATCTGCCTCGAATGGTCAGCGAACCAGAAAAAAACAAAATTGTCGGAGAGCTAACCTCGGTCTCGAACTCGCGGACACAATCTACTTGGTACTATTTTTTTTTTTTCGTTGGTCGAAACTTCGGCAGAAAATCGAGACAAGACAGCTCACCACAAGCCGTGTATCGCGCGTCATTTTAGCTTCGAAAACGGGCACGCCAGCATCCTTGCCAGTTAATTTCTTCTGATTGTCGTCGGAAAAATGTCCGTTGGACAGCTCCCTGGTAGGGCTATCAGCAGGTACAGTGCAGAAAGAAACGCATATCTACGCACTTGATTTTCTTCAGTATGATTGCAAAGAGTTTCTGATCACTTCTCTTGTATTCACGCAAGTTGCGATCGGCGCGCGTAGACACAAGAATTTGCCATTCGCCGAAACCATCAACCGAGTCGAAATGGAAGGCCGCCTTCATAGGTTGTATCATCGGATACGCGGCCGGCACCTCTGGGTTCTGCCCAGGGGCGTTCGAAAGATTGTCGGCTGCACTGTTGATGTGCTCGTTGGAGAAGCCAGAGTCCTGGATGAAGCCGTCATGTGGCAAGTAAGCGTCTTTGAATACAGCCGCCAGCTCGGGGTTGCGTAGCACATCGAGACAATGCTAAGCAGGTGTCAGTTTCTAGACCAGCAAGAAGTGGAGCAGAAATGACCGTACAAGGAGAATAGCTTTCTGGTCCGCGAGAATCTCCTCGACACGTCGATCCGCATCCACTTGGAAAACTGGTACGGGGATCCCGAGGTTATCAAAAGGTCTCCGGTCAATTATCGTGGATGGTTTGAGGCTGCGGCTCTTCTTCCTTTGCTTCTGCTTCACGCGTTTTTTGATAAAGAACTCGTCTTCGTCTTCGTCTCTGATCGAGGCCATGTACTCTTCGAGTGTTATGTTCTCGCTTATGAACGCGTCCTGTTTGGACAGTTCTTTCAGGACCGGCTTTGCGAGGTCCACCGCTTTATGGCAGTCGATGAGGCTCGCGGAGGGATAATCGAGGGACCAGAAGTAGAGTGTCAACTGGCTTAGGAGAGTACAAGCGAGGGAGGATTCAAACTGGTCCGCTTGTGTAGGAAAGTCTGCCATGATCGCCTCTCTCCAAAGTGCGGCGGTGCCTTGCGTACAGGCTGCTCATAATGAGCCAAGTGCCAGTCTTTGTTGTGTGACATCCACGTACCGGAGTAAACATATGCGTAGAGCCTAGGTTCAGCCATGAAAGCTGTTGTTGCTTTAAGCTTGTCGAAGGCTGGGTTTTGAACGTGTTCTTCCAGAGCACCCATCGCACTCCTAAAGGACACTTCATTGCTCAGTCTCGCAGGCGCAAACAGATCCATGTCAAGCTTGGCATGGATCTGTTCGCGTAGGATTGTGCGTGGACTGGAGAAAGACATCGTGAAACGCTGAGTTGATGTCTGTCGCGGACTCTCTGAAGGTCGCGCGGCTGCTCCGTGTAGCCTCGTGTCGATAAACGCTGCGCTGTATTAGGAAACCAGAAATTCCAAGAATGGTCGAGATGTTGTGTGAGGTGAGTGCGCTTGAGGAAAACGATGAGGCACGAAAACTGGCGTGAAAATGTGGAGCACAATTTCTAGCTGTGGGCACTGTAGCAGACTCGGTAGAATGAACCGTCGCGGTTAAGTTCAGAGCGCGAATCTCCTCAAGCGCCATGCACGTTATGATCACCTCTGTGACGTCCTCTTCTGGATTTTGCTCAGGTCCATTTCACGAACTAACTATTTCGCCTGAATTGTCGACCTTCCTTCAGCACAAAGATCTCAAAAGTTTCGAAATGCTCAGAACTCGCACCCTAGTGTGAATATCCCGAGCGCAGGCCAAATTCTGCTATAAATGGGTTTCCGTCCCAAAGACGAACAATCGAGTTCATGTACATGCTGAGGTGTAGTGGTGGGTCAACGCAGACAATACAATTGTAACATGCCTTCAAGCGACAGCCACAGGTACAGGTTGCGAAGCGGGGCTCGCCTGAGCGCTCTTCAGCCTCATCTCCTCCAATCGTTTCTTCTCCACCTCCAGCATCGCCCTTTGAATCATCACCCTTTTCGGCACGACCTCTCTCCTCTCCGTCGTTGGCTTGAAGTCGAGACGATCCACGCCGAGCGCCTTGAGGGTCTTGCGCTCGACCAAGCTGTACTCGTTCGGGTCGTCGCGGTTGAAGTTGAACGGCTTGCGCACGCTCACGGGCGGGTTGGTGATCACCCGCGGCACGCGTAGGACGTTCTTCGACGCCGAGTGCATCATGAGCGGATGCATGAGCACGACATCACCCGTCTCGCCCGTGAGCTCAACGAACTTCTCGCACCTCTTGATCTCTTCAAGGTGCGACCAGAAGCCGGGATAATCCCTGAACTGGTCGGCCGTGCCTTGGAGGTACGCCGGGCGGAAGGTGCGGTCCTCGGGGATGACGCCCTCGGGGTGCGCCGCGAGGTATTTCGCGATTATGTCGATGCCGTCCGTCGCGATGAACGTCGCGCCGCCGCCGGGCGCGATGCTGGAGAAGAGCGGGATGACCAGCAGTGCTTGTTCGGGCGAGTCAATGAAGTGCACGAAGAAGTCGCCGTCGACATGCCAGTTGTCGAGCTCGAGCGCCTCGCGAGGTTTCGCGCCTTCAAGCTCGGGCGTGCCTAAGTTAACGATGAAGCTGTCACCCCAGGTTGAGGCTTCGACGTTGATGCGGTCTTCACCGCCGCACAGGTCCGTGATAGCTTCCCAGGCCTATGAACACGATGTGCACGATCAGTCAAAATCGTATCTCACGAGCAAGATGTCATCCGGGTGTAGTACCATACCTTAGGCGCGAATTCGCTCACACGAACTCGTTTGGTCACAGGCATATGAATGCGCTCCTGGTTCCATGTTGATTTGTCGTTTGGCTCCATTCCCAAACGAACCCACATCTCTCTCGTGAAATCCGCAGCCTGCTCCCGTGTAAACGCCTGCTTGATGACTACATAGCCATTCTCCATGAAGAAGTCGACCTGTTCCGCTGCGGTAATGAAACCATACCGGGTAGGAGTTGTCAGTGCCACGACGGCCTAACTGAGAACGCACGATCGAAAAGGAAGCACATACATGTCAAAGCTTTGTATTGTTGGGCCATTGCAGCAGATGATGATGCGATACACTGGTCAATGAGGGGTGCTTGCTTGGAAGGCGTAGCGCGAGGACACTCTGGTGTGTGGAAGGCGATGATAAGTACACCCGGCGGATATTCGGGGAGCCGCTTTCACAGTCAGCTGGCCCTAACGGGAAGCGTCATGCTACCCCAAACGCAAGCTCGAGAACGTCCTTGGCCCCTTAAGTCACTGATAGCCCAGCTGAATCTGAGCAGTGAGTGTGCGAGATGTTTAACCTGCCAAGGTAGTATTGACCCAAAGGCATCTGCGTACTGCGCAGCGCAGGCTGCTTGATTGTGGCAGAACAGCTGCCCATGATACAGGACCGTCGGACCGACAACATGATGCATGACCCTTCACAAGACCCTAGTCAATAAGTGATACGCTTTGCTTTGATACCGTCGAATTTCGGCTGACAGACATGGGAACTAGGAGTAGCACGTCGTGAGAACACAGATGCAATAGTTGGATCCGTGCAAGGGCGGATAGTCAACAAACGCTGGAAAAATTGAAAGCTGGGCACGACTCCGACAATGATCGATTGTATTCACATATCTCTATAGCGAGACTGCGGATATCACTGCACCCCTGCTTACAAGTCGGTATCAGACTTGGGCCGTCTCTCCAAGACGCTGTCGACGATTCCAAACTCAAGCGCTTCCTGCGCTGTTGACAAGGGCCGTCAATCACCCAGACAATGTCGGCAAGAGTAGCATAGCCCTCCTCAAGAATAGACTTACCTGTCAAGAAGTAATCACGCTCAAGCGCTTTCTCTGTTAAAATTTTGAAGAAGTCAGTATGATGAGGAGTAACTCAGGACCATCAGGGCGTACCGAAGCGCTGAACGCCATCTTCAACGCTTTCCTCCGACTTTCCGCAGTGGCGTTGATAAATGCGCGTGAGAACCTCACGAACCCTCAAAATTTCGCGTGCATGGATGGCGATGTCTGATGCTTGGCCAGATGCGCCTCCCGAAGGCTCTGTAGGAGATAATTAGCCGATGAAGCCTAGCCATGCTCAATTAAAAGGGCGCACGGTGGATCATGATGCTCGAGTTAGGCAGAGCGTGGCGCTTGCCCTTTTCTCCTGCCGCCAACAGCAGGGATCCCATGGAACACGCTTGACCAACACAGTAGGTATGAATTGGTGATGAAACATACTGTTGCCAGATGAGCTTAGGCTGTCCCCTTCGGATATCCGGACCACTGTACCTGCATCTACACCTGCATTAATGAGCGCCAGATGAAGAAAGCGGAAGCAACTTTTGCTTACTGTGTCATATACCGCTAGCCCGGCGGTGACACTGCCTCCAGGAGAGTTGATGTATAGATGAATTGGCTTCGATGTCTCCTCAGCTTCCAAGAAGAGAAGTTGTGATACTAACAGCGCTGAATCGGTGTCTCGAATCTTTTGATTACTCAATGAGACGTGTCGTGTCCTTCAAACACATCACTCACTGGACCGTAAAGCATCACTACCCGCTCCCTCAATAAACGAGAGAAGATGTCGTAACTGCGCTCTCCCCGACCCTAGCATTTCTCTAAATTAGTTTCGACATATCTACCAGAAGTTTATCTGCTCACAGTCTGCTCTATAACCATGGGCACGAGGTTCCCTGTCACTGGACTGCTTGTCCCATCCCACCTGCCTGCCAAGGGGTGGAACCCCCGCGACGTAGCGCCCCGTTGTACCGTGTTTGCACGAGCAGCTTGAACAGCATTCCGCACAGCATTCCGAGCGAGCATCCTAAGCTTGCTGTGAGGTGTGGCAACAAAGGAGAATGTGAGAGAAGAAAAAGAGGCCAAGTTGCCGCGCACGCAAGTCGGGCCAGCCTCCAGGAAGCGCGCGACGTGCGCCTAGCACGTGACACGCGCGTGCTAATGGGCGTCAAAGTTGAGGTCTGTTCTCTGTTCCCTCGGCCTCGACGGTTGACCCTCGCCACTCTGCCCGACTTGCTTGCATTTCTGGCGACTTGCACAATCAGTACTTCTGGAATAGACCTGATTTATGCAGGGGCGGTGACAGAGAATGTCGAGATTCTACGGCTCGCCGCGTTCGACGGAGAGTCCCATGGACTTCGAGTACACTTCGCGTCCAAACGTGAAGCCGGTATGGGCCCAGGGAGGAGACTCAAATACACCACGCAAAAGTAAGTGTTCAGCTTGTATAATTTGTCTGTGGTGTAACTTGTGTATCACAGGACCACTTGCAGAGCTAAACTCTCCGGCTCGATCGTTCCATGCCGGCGACCCAAGCACGCCAACCTTTGGCAGTATACCCACAAACATACCCTTCATGCTGAACGTACCTGCCCCAGTTACGCCACACCGCGATGCATGGGTACCCCCAAACGCGGCCTACGCCGAGATCAAGGACGTGGACATGACGGAGGCCAGCCCGCCGCAGAAGCCCGTACCTCTTGAGACTACGACCGGCAGTTCTGACAACGAGGAAGAGGGTCGGGGTGGAGACAGGAAGATTGCGCTTGGAGGCCTCAAGAGGGTGTACAAGTCGCGACAGAAGCTCAGAGAACAGAGTCGGCTAGGACAAGTCAAGGCGCGGGTTGAGGTTGCAGAAGAAAGTGACGCAGAGAGTGAGGACGAAGTCGTGTCACCCATTGCACAGAATACCTCCAATCATTACACGCTGAATCTTCCTGCCCCGGCTGCTCCAAGATCAGACACGCCTTACGTGCTCTTGGGGTAAGTTCAAGTTCCTGTATGCGCTAAACCTTGTTAACGTCTGGCCTTCTAGATACCTGCAGTTCTTCTTCAACCTCTCGCTGATCCTGGTCTTTCTATACCTTCTCGTGCAATTCATTCTGACGGTCCAGCGTGACGTCGAACACCGGATCTCCGAATATTCGATGGGTAAGAATACTCGGTGCCTTCTTCTCCCGAAGGAACACACTAATTATTACGCATGCACAGACATTGTGCAAGAGATAGCGCAGTGTATAATGCATTTCAAAACAAATCTTTGCGCCACGAACCCCATTCCGGCGATGGCTTACCAATGCGGACAGTGGGAGACATGCATGAATCGTGACCCGACCAAGGTCGGGCGTGCGCGCGTGGGTGCCGAACTCATCGCAGAAGTCGTGAATGGCTTTGTCGAGCCGATATCATGGAAGACCCTCGTACGTACCATACCATAACTGATATGTCCCGGCATCGTGAATGACAAACATACGGCAAACAGGCGTTCATCCTCACTTCGCTGTCGTTTCTTACCGTCTTCGTGAATAGCCTCCTGTCCCTATACCGCTCTAGACATAACCCCGCGAACACCCCAGCTGTACACTCGCAGCCCGTGCCATCCTTCCCCGTCGGTCCGGCGGCGCCATACCCCCACCACATGTTTAACGCTCCGTCTGGCTGGGGCAAGTCTTGGTTGACAAGTCAGGACGTCGAGGAGATCCCTCCTCGGAGGAGAAAATTGGAAAGCGGTGCAGCGAAGGAAATCAAATAGGCCTCATCATACTGTCACGACATTTCTGCGGCCGTCTCGGATCTATCTTATGTCTTTTTATAACGAGTCTCACGTCTGTTCTCACATCACCGTTGGATATGGCGACGGATAGTGTGATGATCGTACGTGAGTAGTTAGTTCTGCGGCATGCGAGAACTGGGCGCTGAAGGCACACGACAGATGTATCGTTTTTCCCATTGCTGCCTTGTTGACTAGGTGGTGATTTCATCTTGGGGATGTTCGATCGTTCACATGCACTGGCTGCACCACACATGAGGCTCAACATTCGATCTTGGTATCGTCATGAGAACCCTATCACGAAAATGAGCCATAACCGGAAATTTCTATGACAAGTAAGTTCGATGGTTCCATAGGCGGGTGCACGAGGCTGATGGTCCGTGGCGTCACGTTCATATCCGCAGGTCCCTGAGCCCACTGACTTAGCTTCCCCATTAATATCGCAAGAAGTCGCGACGGGGCCACGCTCACGTCATCTCGCTGCACGAGACCTGGCCGGCGTGTGCAGACCCGCATCTAGGAATTCAGACGCAGCGTTCTACCGCCGCACGAACGCCACGAACTCAAGGAGGAAGCGATAGGAAGCTGTGCAATGGCCCTAGGGCTAGGCTTCCCGAAGGCTCGTCGAAGCCTTCTCGCGGAGCACGACCGCCCTTTCCGCTATCGCACATCCCCATAGGGGCTCCTCATTCCGTGCCTGAGCCTATCGAGGAGCTGCGACGCACGAGCCAGAAGCTGGGAGAACGAGCAGCAGGCGGCGCAGTTGCCACTGCCACCGATGGCCGACTATAACCATCGGCGACGCCGGGCAGCTTCCCTGCATGTCGACGCATCCAATTGTGTGGTGTTACTATGGGCATCGATCGCAAGCTTTTTACGACACGTCTATTCAGAATTTCCTGAGACCCTGGCCAGGGCGAGCACGCGCGGGGGCGCTTCTTGCCGTAACCCACCCTCAACGCCGTAGAGTCGCCCGCGCTGGACGAAGTGTCAATCAGAGAGGCCGCCGCAAGCGATAGGCCTGTTGCTGATGCCGATGCGGATGGACGCCTGTTGGGGTTAGGGACATCGCGGCGGCGAGATCGATTGATCCTATGCGGCGGACACCCGAGACTAGGATGTCATTGATTTCCCTGGCCGGGGTTCCTCGTGCGACACGAGTATGCCGGCCCTGTGCGCGACTAAGTTCATACATTCCCCAGGATGCATCAGGAAGATCTAGAAACCGATCGCGGTCAGACATGTCTGCATTGCGACACTGCGGCAAGCGCGTTGAATATGGCTGATAGAAGCGGCGGAGAGGCACACGCGCGCGCCTGGGCCCTCGTGCACAGAGTCTTCGGCTGCGCATCTCGTTGGCAATTGCGTGTATGGTAAGCTCAGGAATCTGGCTGGCGCCGAATAGCCTGCTTCGCTTAATGATGATAGGTTAGCTTGTGCAGGGTCGCGGGCAAACCTAGTACAGCAGCTCTTTGTCCAGGGTCCTGCCGAGCAGCGACCGTGGTCAGCCACAGGACTCGGCGGTGGAGCCCACGCTGTGCGGGAGCGGTAGCAAAGGGCCGCTGCGTCCGCCTGTCCCAGAGATGCGCCTCTTTATCCGAGGAACGTGTGCGCCGCATGTGTGGGCGCGCGGGACAGCCGGTGAGTTGTTTGAATGGACGGAGAAGATAGCACAGCCTCTGAGTCCGCTGCGTTCCGGCCTGACAATCATCGTTCAGACGTCCAATGCTTGTCTCCGGTGATATCACGGGCTGCACAGGGATACGAGACGTTCGCAATCCTTCCCTGTACTCGGGGTTGGGGAGTCCGGCCCCAGGCTAGCAGCGTAGCGCCTAACTTTGAATTGACGAGCGACGCCAGCCGCGGGTCAAATTCCGCGGCGGTAGTATCTGAACAGGTGAGCTGCCTTTCTGTGCAGTTCCTTGCGTGTTTGCAAATGACGCATTTTCAGGTCGGGTCTGGACGGCGCCACAACACGAGTGCAGTGCGCCTTCAAGGTTTGAACACTGCTCGCATGACCCGCTCGCTGCGTTAGCTACATCAAGGAGCGCGCCTGATATCGCCTGTCGCTATTCGCACGTCAGAGCATGCGGAAGATCTCCATCAATGAAGCGCGCCCCCCAGGCAACATGGTCTCAATCTCACAAAGACAGTCCTCATCTGCGATCGCATCTATGTTGCCGTCAAAACGAAAACGAGAGGAGACCCAGGAACGCTAACGCATCAAGGACCACGGGGGAGACTATACCCTGTTCCGACGTCCATCGGGACACAGCAACGGGCGGCAGCCGTGATCATACTTACACGCCCGCAGGGGGCGCACCAACCTCCCGGCTAAGGTGAGATGTGCAATATGCGCAGCTGCGGCGGGCGCGTGCGGCGAGTGCGTGGGGCCAGCCTGTAACTTCCGCACGCTGGGGCGATCGCAGTGCGACGTGTTTCGCTGGCAGTAAGGGGCCACTCCGTGTGCCTCCGTGGACATCGCCGCCCGCGGCAAGCACCACATTGTTGCACTGCGCCCGCACGGAAGCAGTGCGCAGACGACCGTAACTGTTCCTTCGGCACCGGCCTCTGTTTCGCGGCGCTCCCACGGCCTGCCCCTGCATATGGTGGCGCATCGGCAGGGGGCTGCTCTTCGCGATGCCGCGTCCCCGTAAGGTCTAATTGCGATGATCCAGTGTTACATATACCCCACCCGCGGAGGCAAAATATGCTTCGCACATTCTCTTCTTTGCCTCCGAGACGCTTGCGTGCTTGCGCCTCTTCCAGGATGGAAGCTCGCACGCCAGGCGCGCCAGGGCTGGTGCCAAGCATGCTGGGGAGAAAAGATGCGGAACGCAGAGCATGCTTTGACGACCGCACCTCTGGGTGTGTACGTACCACTACAGCTGCCGCGCTGCCTTTCTGTCGGAAACATCTTATGCTGGCATGGGTCTGATTGCTGCGCCGAGCTGGATGTCGTGCTTGTGTTCGTTCATCTTCATCGTTAACGTAATCTCAGTGCCTTCTTCCAAGCATCCGTGAGAATTGTCATGACGGTTGTGGGTCCATTGCCAAGACTGGAGTTGTTGGCTGCCGTCGACGATCGTTGTCCGGACGTCCGAGGCTGTGATAAATGATGATTGCAACTCTTCACAAGACAAAAGGCTGCCACACCAGAAGAATGGATGCTTCAGACACGATCGCGATCGTGGTAGTGAAACAGCAGCACTATATGAGCATTGCGAGACAGACCTAAGGTTACAATGCAAGGTGAAACGGGTATTAGGAGGTGGAGAGACATGCAATGAAAGCAATGCGAAGTCTGCACTGCAGGCGAGCGAGGCGAAGCTTTCAAGTCCAGATCTCAGAGAAAAAAGCACAAAGTTCCCGAGCACGACGACGTATGGCGACACTGCGCGATGGGCACACGGAGCATGATAGCGGACGGCGTGGCAAGAACCATCCCATGCCCGGTGTTAATTCTTTCCTCCCCCAGCAGTCGCAGTCGTAGTCTTCTCTTCCTCCTTTTTCTGCAACCAACGTCAGCAGTCCGGGCAAACAAGCAAGATCGCGGGCGTGTCGGGGTCCTACCTTCTGCTTCTCTCTCAGGATGGCGGCGTCCCTGTTCCACAAGAGGGCGATCTGTCAGTTTGCGGAGGGACCGTGCGACAACGCGGCGGACGTACTGCTCTCTGCGCTTCTGGAGCGACGCCGCGCTCTCCTTGGGCTTCTTTGCCGCCGCCGCCGCCTTCTTCTGCGCCTTGGCGCGGTCCGTCTCACGCTGATTGCCACCTAGCGCACCACACGTCGCGCGCAACGGCACGCAGGGCACGCTTGAGCACATCAACCCTGCCAGCAAACGGCGACGCCAGGGTGCAAAAGTCACTCACGAGTCATCGCTGTGCGTTACGTCCTCCGATGCAGCTCTCGTGCGGGTTCGTGTGCGGTGTGTCGATAGTCCGAGTCAGAGATGTGCGTTGCCGTTCGCCTGCGTGGCTTCGAGGACGGCCTGTTTCGACGGCTTTCGATGAGCGCGAGCGTGACGTGACAGTAACAGAAAGTGACACATATATTCCCACGATGTACGTGACGTCTCCTCGGGGCGCCCGTGCGAATCGGTTGCCAGCGTCGCGCTGTCCATGTCAGCTGTCGTTTTCGTCGCTTTCCTCGGCATACATATGCGCATATGTCGCGTCACCCTTCTCGTTGCAATCAATGTCAATTCTCGGTGGTATTCGGTTCTTGGTGATCAATCTGTCAGAAAACGCGGCCGTCGGCAACTTGATATCTTCTCTGCGCCCTGCGAACATTCCGGACTACCATTCAACCTGCTGTCTGGATGTCCGACTGGCTCTAATAGATTTCTGCCTATTCGTCTCTACTGACTTCACAGCATGAAATCTGGCCTGATGGTCCCGTGCGGCGGGCCGATCCCATCTGCTGCGTGTCGTAGGCGTTGCCAAAGGCAATAAGGCAAGTACCCACGCTCTCAGGCCCATTCGCGGAATAGCTAGGCTGCGTCTCATTCATTTACGCGTACATCTCGGGAGCAGTGCGTGGGGCCCGCGTCGTCGCACCTATGAACGCATCCAACAGGAAGCCAAGGGTCCCTGGGTGATCAGCCCATTATAAGCTCAGTCGACAAGCTCTCACCGGACGGTTCTGCCCAGGGTGGCCACATGGTGCTGCCGGGTGCGTCTCCCATGACTTCTCCAATACACGCTTACAAGCTCCGGTCATGGCGAAGCTTGTTTGACAGTTCTTTGCCAGGCGGGGTTTTCGCGGGAACGCCCCTCCCAAAAGCGAGCGAGGGCAGAACCACAGGTCCCTGCTGGGGCTCCGTGGGCCTCGTGAGCCCGCGACGGGAGCCAGACGCAACGTGTACGCGTCCGCCCCAGTACAGCGGGGGTGCGTCCCTTGTTCTCTCGCCGGCCTTCTTGTAACCCCTTCGATTCACTTCCGCGCGCGCAGCTAGCAGCCAGCCTACAACGCACGCGCCATATGCGGAAACGACCAGCCTAATTGGCCAAGCGGGGCAGCCCTGGCGCGCGGACTCTATCAGAGCGTGGTGATCGCCTCCGCGCGCACCGGCCTTCCGGTTCCCGCCGTCGCCTCGCTGCGCGCTCTGACGCAGGACTTTGGACAAAGTTCAGAGCCCCAACTTCAGAGTTTGCGGCACTACGGCAGGGCCGCAGACGTCGTGCGCCTCTCCCGCCACTGCGCCCCGCAGAGTCTGTGGCGTGGCATCTGCGTCCGTGGGTCGGCGAACCTCTCCGCCTACCAACAATCGCCATGTACGCGTCTCCTATTGGCATCCGGCTACTGATCAAGTGGCCTCAGCCGTGGCGGCCAAGCTGCAAGGCCGTATACGTACTTTTGCGCTTGTGCGGCATTACGATACACAGCTCGGCTGGCTGCTGTCGCCGCGCGGGGAAACAGAAGGTTGCAAAGAGGCTTGCAAAGCGACATATTCATATTAGCAGTTCCCCCTCCCGCCTCGGTGATCGCGCCGCGCCCGACCCGCCGGCCGCCTGCCAGCTAAGGTTCATCCCCGCACACGGCCCAGATCGCAACGAAACTGCGCGTGGGGCGGCGGCGCCCGCAGAAGATGCTGCCTGATCGGTCAGATCCCGCGAAGATGGAGTGCCAGGGTCTCAGGGTCCTCCCTCTTCCCGACCCTAGTGCGCATCGCCGCGCGTCACACCTCTGGCACTCTGTGTGTCCCGCTGGCGCGCGCGGGGCCTGGCACATCTGCTCTGCCACGGACGCTGCCCGCGCGGCCCGGAGGCGGGCGCCGGTGCTTGTCTCCTGTGCGTTGCCCGGACGACGACGCACGGGGTGTCGGTTACAGGTTACAGGGAAACACCGCGCATTGCGCGATTGCAGTCTCGGATGCTGAGCCAACGCCAGGCCGAGACTAGAGCGGTGTTCAAAAAGGCTACCTTTTTTTTGCGTTGGCTATATTCAAATTGGACAACGGTTCTACCGAGAAGCGAGGCTCAGGGCTGCGGTGAGTCCGCACACGGAGACTCAATTTTCTCTCTCTCTCGCAAGACCTTGCGTAAGGGCCCCAAACTGAATCGGGGCGGGACCAGCGCCTCAGCTGCTGGCAGACGTGGCTTGCAGCCTGAGCGGACAGTTTTCCGATTTCACGGGTGGGGGGTGGGTGCGGAGCTAATCAGCGTGGGGTGGGAGACGCCCAGGCCCCTCGATTGGGATTGACGATCTCCGTGGTCGCTCGCACGATGATAAACGTTTTCCCACGTATCGTATCTCGTCAGCTCCGCGGTGTCTCGCGGCTTGCCGGGTGCTGAAATCGGTGTCAAGGACGCTTCTGTGCGCGTTCCCAGCGGGCAGTGCGCTCGCGGCGTCCCAATAGTGGCGGGCAGTGCACGCGGCCGCTGTGCGTTCTTCTCTGGCGCGTGTGCCAGGAAGCCTTCCTGACATCTTCCGCATTTCACCAAGGAGCGGGTGGGCCGTCCTCCCCCTATGCATCGAAAACTCTGATGGATTGCCCACGCAGAGACACCTCGATCCGTTCCTCATCAGTGCGACGTTGCGTCGCTCGGACGCTAGCAGCGGCGGGCCATGCAGCGACCATATGCGCGCGCAGGCCCAAGTGCGAGGACGGCGCCACAGGGGCGCGCGGAGATGGTCGATTGAGACCGCTCCTCGGAACCGGGACGTTGTGTGCGAGCGCAGCGGAGGCAGGCTGAGGTAAGCGGGGGGTCTGACCCTGTGCTCACCCGGCAAAATGTTGGGCTGTGCCTGACGCACGCGTCGGGCGCTCCAACCGACCCGCTCCTCCGTCCGTCAAAGTTTGGGCGCTGGGTCGCCCGTCCCGACACGTGTTCTGGCCCCCCCCTGCTGTACCCGTTGCCGACGGGAACTCCATCACCATCAACCACCGGCGGCCCGGCGTCCGCCTGTCTTGCAATCGATTGTGGATCGGACTGCGGCTGTCCCCCGGAAACGACGGCGGCTCCACACGCGAAGCGAGGCGGCCGAAGTTCTAATTTTTTTTATGGGCCGGTGCTGCTCAGCAATTTGATTGTTACGTATCACGTCCGATCGGTGATGGCCCCGCGCCACGCCGCCGGAAGCTTATATTCATCTCAGTTTTGTCAGCGGCCAGAGCCACCCTCTCTCTTTCCGTTCAGGAGCTCTTGCACGTCCCTGATGGCGAGGCGCGGCGTGCTCAGATGCCGCGGGTGCGGATGCTCGACGGCCGCTGCTCCATAGTAACAACCGGATGAAGCTTTTTGTACTGTTGGAGTGTCCATTGTAGCCCCAAGAGGCAATTCTTTTCCCTGCGAGGTAACGGACGTCCGCATGCAACCGACATGAAAAGACACCGCAATGGACTCACGCGCCTAGGCGATGTGCACTGTGCAGGCCGTCCGCTTACCGGATGAGGCATCGCAGGACGGGAGTCATAGACTTGGCGCGGGGCGTGCTACGTTGACGCGTCTATCTTTATTTGGAACGCATCCAGCTGTGCAAGGTGACACAGGGTGCCATAGCGGTGGCAAACGAAAAGTCCACGGCGTCGGTCGATTAATGTGTCGCGAATGACAGCGGGCTAGGGGTCGATCTCGCACTACAATCGGGTGTGGGCGGGGAATGAGACGACGATCTGAGACGAGACGCGGCGCCCTTGGCGTTGCACAAAAGTGCGCAGTTAGCGGAATGGGGCAGACAATGCTGTTACGTCGCGCGTTGTGCAGGACGGAGCCGAAACGAGCCCGCCTGTTTCGGCGAGGATAGCATGAGTGGCGAAGCTTGTGTGGACCGCGACGGCGAGAATCGATGGTGATGGAAAAGGCTAATGCATTGAGCGAATCTGAGATCATGATGGGTTAAATGAGGGCTCCCAAAGTAGTTGCCGGCAGAGCGCTGATCCCTGGGCAAGCTTCTGACGAAGTGTGAGCTCCCTTTCGGAGCTTGGCAGGAGATCTCGATCTGATGCTTCCTGACCGCGGCCATTGGCCCGTCGACGCGGCTTCCAGTTTCGTCACCCATCCGTCTCGCTGGCGTCTCCGCAAAACGCTCTGCGACTTCGATCTGTGATCGTCTTCTCTCGCTATGCCCTGATCTCACACCCGCAGCTCCGCCCATATATACAGCCCCCCGTCCCCCGCGAGCGAACCCTTCTTTTCGCCTCCTCATCCCTTTCTGTCTCCAGCCGCCCGTGCCCTCTCGTCGTCGTTGCTGACGCCGCCACACACATTCTCGGCGCCGCCATGAGCACACGACAGCCCCGCCAACCTGAACGAGATATACGTCTTCACGACCCTCATGTCCCCCACCATGCCCACTCGCTGCCGCCGCCGCCGCACCCGCACGGCCACCCCCCGCTGCATCTGAACGGCAGCTCGATACCCACCACGCCCCTCACCGCAGGAGCGGTTCCGCCTCCGCCTCAGGCCGCCCTGGTCTCCTCGCCTGCCGTCGCGAACGGCGTCAACGGGACGGCCGTCCCCAGCTCAATCCAGAAACTTGCACAGGCGAACGAACAGACCTGGCTTCTGATTGGTAAGCAAGGGTCTTGGTTGCAACAGGAATACAGACAGTCGAAACTGACGCCGTCCGCGTCTCGGTAGGTCGCGTCGCCGAGCAGATGGGAAACTTGGAACATGCGCTATCGGCGTATGAGAACGCCCTGCGTCACAATCCCATGTCACTTTCCGGACTCACACAGGTCGCTGGAATCGCGCGGATCAAAGAGAACTACCCCAAGGTACGCGCGCCTCCTTGTATCCATCTGCGCTATCTTGTCGCCCTCGCTTCGGGTAAACCCCGGCAAACCCTTTTTCCCCATTTTGGGCAACGGCATCATTTATTTTCAGATCATCCTCGTTCCAGATTTCTGACTCTGACGCGTTTCCCCTTTAGGCAGTAGAGTATTTCCAACGCGTCATCAACATGCAGCAGGACAATGGCGAAGTCTGGAGCGCACTAGGTAAGCGCCCGAGGCCCTTCTGCATCCGCCGCATTGCCCCCGGCTCACACGGGTCCTTTCAGGGCACTGCTACCTTATGCAAGACGACCTCCAGAAGGCCTACGCTGCGTATCAGCAGGCGCTCTATCTCCTTCCCAACCCAAAGGTAAGGCTTCCACGCCGTCCCTGCTTCTGCTCCGCCTGCTGATTTGTTTGTGCAGGAAGACCCAAAGCTGTGGTACGGCATAGGCATCCTGTACGACCGCTATGGTTCTCTGGACCATGCCGAGGAAGCGTTTTCCTCTGTCCTCCGTATGGACAAAGGTTCGTCTTTCTGCCCCCCGCGCAGTCTTGCGCTTACTCAGCTCTAAAGCACACTCCGCAGACTTTGACAAGGCCAACGAGATCCTCTTCAGGCTCGGCATCATCTACAAACAGCAAGGAAAGTACCAGGAGAGCCTCGAGTGCTTCGACCGCATTCTTCGCAATCCGCCGAATCCGCTAGCACATGCCGATATCTGGTTCCAGATTGGTCATGTGTACGAGCAGCAGCATGATGTAAGTTTTCATCGTCAAATTTGGCTCCGGATCGTCGTTGCTTATCTAGCTTTCCAGCACGTTCGTGCCCGGGAAGCATACGAACGAGTCGTGGCCGACAATCCTGGGCATGCAAAGGTTCTGCAGCAGCTGGGGTGGCTTTACCATCAGGATGGCTCGTCTTTCCAGAATCAGGAACTTGCCATCCAGTATCTGACCAAGAGCCTCGAGGCCGGTAAGTTCCCATGTCAGAGCTTCCCGACCCGCATTCACGTGTCTCACATCCAACTGCCCCTGCTTCTAGATCCAGCCGATGCTCAGAGCTGGTATCTTCTCGGCCGGGCCTACATGGCCGGTCAGAAGTACAACAAGGCTTACGAGGCGTATCAGCAGGCTGTGTATCGTGACGGCCGCAACCCCACTTTCTGGTGCTCCATTGGCGTGTTGTACTTCCAAATCAACCAGTACCGCGATGCCCTGGATGCCTACTCGCGCGCGATTCGGATCAACCCGTACATCTCTGAGGTGTGGTTCGACCTCGGTAGTCTCTACGAGAGCTGCAACAACCAGATTTCGGACGCCATCGATGCGTACGCTCGCGCTGCCGAGCTCGACCCCGCTAACCAGGCGATTGCTCAGCGCCTGGCGCTCTTGAAGAATGCTCAAGCGACCGGTCAGGCTCTGCCTGCTGCTCCAGGCCCACAGGATGTGCATCCGACGGCATACGCAAACTCGCTAATGCCGCAGCCAGCTGGTTTGACTGGGCCCCCGCTGATCTTGCACACGAATGGCATGCCACCACGCCCACTGTTCAGGGCCGACTCTCGAGGTGCTCCCAACGAATTGCCTTTGCCCGTTCCTCCTGCTCAGCTCCAGGGTCGTTCGTCTCCAGGTCCTTTCCGCGGTGGTCCGCCTCCGCCTGTCATCCTCAACGAGGACCAGCGTCCGCCAACGCATGTCTTGGCGCCGATGGATGTCGACAGGCCTCCCATTCGCGAGGCTGCTTCGTATCGCGATGCACCTCGTGGTGGACCCTCGAACAGCCTCCTGTTGCACCACCCTGTACCCCAACCCCAGCAGATCCCACAGTCGCATCCCCACGAGAACTTTGCGCCTCGTCCGATCCGAATGCCCTCCGGTTCGGCGTCGCCTCCGTCTAGAACCTTGCCAGCATTCAGTGATCGCCCACCAGTCGGCCCTGGTCAGATGCCACACCCCCGTTCGCCTCGTGCATATGCGCCTCCTGAGCGCGCTGAACCTGGGTGGGACCGCCGCATGCCACCAGCCGCTGATCGTGACTGGGAACGTGAACACCGCGAGCACCGTGGACGTCCGGCCCCCGCTGATTACCCGCCGCACCCACAACAAGCTGCGATGTACAGCTCTCGTCCGCACTCGCCAATGTATACACAGCAACCACACCGCAACGTGTCGCGCGACCGTCGGGACAGCCCCCCGGAGGCATCTCCGCGCAGTGCACACCCGCACTCTGGATACCCACGATACTGGGATGCCAAACACTCCGGACCGGGCGCACAGGGCTCAGGGCCTATGCCGGTACAGATTCATGCACGCTCTCCGCCGCCGCCGCCATCGCGGTCGACACTGACCGAGGTGGTCCTCGACACTCCCCAAAGGCGGTACGATCCCCGATTTGACGGGCGAGAGTCGCAGCCCCGCGAATACGGGCGCGAAATGCCGGTCGACGCCCGCTACCACATGTCGCCGGAAGCAATGCGCATGCGTGCCCAGCCTCCTCCCCCACCGTATGCGGGAAGCTCTCGTCCGTCTGAGAGCCCGCGCATGACGAGCGTAGCCACACCGTCTGATGCCAAAAGCCGCGGCGGCCGTCGCAAGGCGCAAGGTGCGACACCCGAGGCGGAAATGCCTGGTATGCCGCAAGAGAAGAAGGAACGCAAGCGGAGACAGCGCCGTGGGAAAGAGGACACGCCGGCCCCGATGCAGCCGCCGCGCCAGGACTCGCAGTACGGCATGCCGTACCGCCCACTGAAAACGAGCAACAATGGCAGCCCGGAGCCGAGCTCGAATGGATCGAATGGCTCTGGCCCTGGTTCGGCGAGCAGGTCGACGCAGCCGTCTCCAACGAGCTCAGCTGCGAACCCCGCCCACCACCCGCCCACGCGCATCGTCGACGAGGACTACGACGGCGATGGCGCAGCTGCGGAAGTGCTCATGAACATGTCCAACTCGTCGTACCGCAGTGGCCCGAGCGACCCCCGCAACTTTGGTGCTCCCATCAGCGGACCCATGCGCTCTCCACCTGACAGCCGTGGTGGTCCCCCGCCCCAGATGTCTCCGCACTCGATGGCGAAGCACCCAGCGATGCAGAGGAACTCGCCTCCGTCGAAGCGGCCACTCAGCCCTGGGCCTGAAGATCCGAACGTCGAACCCAAGCGCTCGCGCGTCGGCAGCACCAGCAGGCGGATGTCTTCTCCCTCTGCGCAGGCCCCGTCGTCGACTCGGCCCTCTCCTGTGCCGTTCCGCCACCAGCCGACGACGCACGCGTCGCACTCGCCTGAAATGAGGCAGGACGTGCAGCGTCAGCCGTTCGACTCCCCGCCGAGCCCTGCGCTTCCAACGACACTCCCACCACACCCGCGCCCGATTGGGTCAATGGGCGCCGGGTTTGCGGCGGGGCACACATCCGGGCCGGGCATGCCTCTCCCGCCGTCGCTGTCGTCCGGCGCGGTGCGCTCGCCTCCTGGCATGTCACCGACGGACTCGGACCATCGCATGCACGACTCGCGGTCGAACTCGCCGAACGCGCAGCGGATGCCGGCCAAGCGCGAGATCGTCGTACACGCTGCGCGGTCGCCGCCGGGGTCCAAGGGTCTGCCTTCGCCTGCGTCGAGTCACGGCAGCCATGCGAGCCACGGGAGCGGCGGCAGCCACAAGATGGTTGTGTCGTGAGCGCGTGATTCTCCGATTTCGTTGTCGTGTGTATACACGCTTTTCCTTTCTTTCTTTGTCTTTTGCACGCATCTCGTACGTACGCATTGGCATGGCCCGGTTCTATTTCCTCGTCGTCGTCGCTGTCTGTCTGTCTGTTGCATCGCACGTTGTGTCTTTATCTCACACGCACGGTTTCGGTCCTCTTGCTCGCTTTGTCGGTTCCCCATTACCCTCGTCGTATCGTCTGCAAGGTCCATGAAGAATACAAAGTGCCGAGTTCCTATATACCATGTATACTGTGTATGTCTGTATGTGCACGTATGATATGCAACCAATTATTCTCAGACACATTTCAGGTGGTATTGCGTGAGATGGCCTTGTACAAGCTGGAGGGTCGGGCGTTATTTGTTGCTGTTTGGCTTCGACCTCATGATTGTCCCGACGGTGATGGGGCCAGATCGACAGAGGTCGAGCGTCGGCCTGCACCAGTGCTAAAAGCACTGCGATCGACATCGCCTTACGGAAACAGGCTGGATTACGCGGTGGGTGTGGCTGGTGGCATGGGGTCTGAATGAATGAATTCGCTTGTTAGGCTTCGCGGAACCTAATGAATACCCTGACGTCCGTACTGGTGGGTGCCATAAACGCAGGCATCCACATTGTGCAGCGAGCAGCTGACCGCCGAAACAAAATCTTGACTCATAACCTGCTACACCCTCGCCGGTCTGTGCCCCACTATTCGCGTGCACAAGCAGCTCCGCGTCCAGCCCAGTGCTGCGGTCAAAAACAAAGCGAGGAGTGCTGTTCGGGTCGGCTTCCGACTGACCACGCGGGGGCACACGATCGACGTGCAGCCCCAGCGCGTCCCATTCCTTCGCCGCGGCGTTCTTCTCGAGAGAGCCCCCCCCCCCCC